GGGGGGGGGGTGGTCTGTGCCGTGTTTAGGGGCGCAGAGCTGTGCCAGCACCTAACCCAGCCCTCCTTCAGCGCCCCCCACCCCCAGGTAGCTCCTGGCTCACAGCCTTCTCCTGTCTTGGCTCTTTTTTCCTTTCTCTCTTCTACACAAGCGAGGCCAAACCTGGCACTGGTTGCCAAAGCCCTTCTGGCTACAACCAACAACTTTTTGGGTATAAAACCGATACTAGTGACTGAAAAGCAACATTTCCCAGGGGGAGAGGCGGCGATGAGCAGACACTGTAGGTACATGGCAGAAAGCTGTAGCAGCAAGTCTGTTCAAGACAAGGGAGCTCAATAGCTATAACCTAGGGAGTGCCTGGTTCAGAAAAGGCTTCAAACTCAACATGTCCATGAGTGGAAAACACCAACCCCCTGTCCCAGCACAGCGGGGCTTTCCCTGTTGCTATGTTTCTTGCTCACCCCCATCCTTTTTCCTGCTGCTACTGACAAGCTGTAAGGAACACACATCCGGAGATGGACGCGCTCAGCTGGGATTGCTTTAATGATGTCACATTGCCCTTGTCAGCATCCCTGCCTGTAGGTCTTTGGTTTAACTCAATCACTGTGGGGCCAAACCTCAACGTTGCTCTTGGGCACTCAATTGAACAGCTACCTGTCTGGGGGAAGCAGGTATGACCACGGCCTACAGCACAGCTTAGCACACTCACAGCATCGCTCTGGACAAGATAGGGTGGGGGTGGTAGCATTAAAGAAGACCAGGTTATGCACAATCACCCAACATGAAGCACTTATGAATGACACTTCCCACAGAAGGACACCAAGTAACAGAGAACCCGGTTAAATGTCCAGGTGAGGTAGATCCACAAATGGCACGTGGCATTTATCCATAGTTGTGGGCTCTGCTCGGACCATCCTGCCACACACAGCGCACCCTCAGCTCCATCTCTGCCCCCGTCCCTTGCGAGCATGGAGCGGGCCTGAGCAGGGCACAGCACCTGCTAAGGGAAGATAAGGACAACTACTAGAGCACAAGACTGGGTGCTGAAAGAGGGCTCCAGCTCCTATTTTTTCCATTTTTCCAGTCCGTCTGAGAGCTGGGCATGAACAGTGCCAACGGCGACCACTGACAGAGTTGGGGGCTATCCCAGAACAAAAACCCGATATAATGTTGGGCGAGATGCAGACGTGCCACCGGGTCAGCCCTTCTGCAGCCCACTTCTCTCTCCACTCTGGGGCGAGAAGGACAAAACCAAAGAGAAAACATGCTGCTTATCAAAACGATGGTAGGAGCTGCTATTTAGAAAACCGAACACCCTAACTCAAAGCTCTATCAGTGACTATTCTTAGCCTCAATGTCATTCACAGCCTGGAGAACTCTGGGGACAACTTCAGATAAGCCCATCCCCATCCTTTCCTATCAGTCACTGGTCAGCCAGAGGTATGTGTGAGAGGGGACCTGCCTTTTGGAAAAGAAACTATTCCGAAGAGATGTCATGAAGCTGCTCTGGTCAGTGTGCGTATGATCTTTTTTAAAAAAATGTTTACAAATATATATATTTTATATATGTATATGTATTTCTTAAATTCCATTTAGAAATGTAGCTAAAAGAAGTAGAAAAGCGCGAGCGAGAGGAGGCGTGAGACCAGCAACTGCTGCAGTTCCCACATATGAAGGCACGAGTGTGGAGAGACACCTGTGGTGAGGCCTGATGGTCCAACCCCACTCCTCACAGGGGGTGGTGTTCATTTGCCTTTGCACCCCTGCCCTTCACATCCCATAAATAAAGGAGCAGTGACGTCCTACAACCATACTTAGGCAGAGCAGTAACACTGCCTGCGCTCTGGGCTTAGGGCGAGTAAGAGCAGTATGTGGCCCACGGTAGGTTTGTGGTAAAGAGGCCTGGAACCTTCTTAATGTGATGCTTTCAGGCTGGAGGGAACAGAGATCAGCTCCTTTATTCACAGGCCTTCTTCTCTCCTGCATTCAGGTTCCTTTGTGGTATGTGGGCAGGGCAAATGGGCCCTAAAGCCAGCACAGGTGTAACCTGTGCTCACAAAACAGCACAGGTGTAATCTGTGCTCACATTAAGGCCCTTATTTGCCTCCAAAGCAGAGGAAGGGATCACACCCCAATTAAGAATTGTGTCCTACATGTTAAATGGAAGACATTTAAAATATCAGGCTATTTAGAAAATACTCTGTGTTTTTTTTCTAATGTGCACAACACACTTGAGTATCACCAGGGATCAGCCTGTGGCCTAGATGTGCTCCTCAGCACGGTCAATTGTACCACTCCTCGTGCATGGCTTTCTGAGCAGTCCAGCATATGAGTTTAATTCTAGAGTTTCTCTTTGCTATTCCTCTTCCTACAGATCACTCTTTTGCTTTCAAAGGACGCCTGCCTCTTTCTACAGATAGCGACGGGACGGGAAAGTAAGACTCTGAAGTAACATCAGCTGTTTTACCATCTCAGCAGCACTTTAAAGTAAGTGGCTGAGCATTATTAATTCATTGTGCTCACTTTTACATCATTTATCATAACGAGCTGCTGTGGTATTCCATGCGGATGCAATTGTGTATTTCCAAAGAAATTTCATTGTGATTTATCAATTAATTAGTGGGCCATTACATTTTATTAAAGTGTTACCCAGAGTCTTAAACATTCATTACTGCCTGTAGAGCAAATGCGTTAACTCCCTCTCAGCCACCGGTGTCTTACAACCAGGCTCTTCTGCCAAAAGCTCTCTTTTGCCTTCCCTGGCGTCAGGGACTGCAGAGGAGTGGTACCAGATAACCCAAACTGAATGTGATCCCTCTGGCCTCGTTCACCTGGCCACAGACAATGCACGGCGCAGCATTTGTTTGTCTTTTCTAAATGGATACAAACAGGCAAGGGAACAGGGAGGGCTGGAGAGAAACCTCTCCGTGGTGGGTTGCTGTTGCCGAGTTTCAATGTCTTAGAAATCTGTTCAAGAGAGCAGGTAAAAGCCAGAGTACAAGTAACTCAATAACTGCACGCATGAAAAAGCAGGCAAGCTCTGAGACGTTCTCTCCTGAGATGGGGGGAAGGGGGCTCGCTACATTCAATGCCAGCTTCTCTGAAAAGGCAAGTCCATTGAATAGGGACATTTAATTAAAACCAGCAGTAACAGCCCTGTGAACTAAGACTGGCATTTTTATCATCACCATAAGAAGTCACCAACAGCCAGGCCTCGTCAACCATCAACCTCTGGCGTTCTGCAGGCTGGCAGCCGTGCCACAAACATCTACGCTTTGGTCAGAACAAAAATGAAAAGAATTTGATTTCTCCACACAATTCCTTGCATCTTTTTCTCTCCCAGCCTGCAACTGCTGGAGGGTGCACCGCCAGAAGCGGTGGTAGCTGACAGGTCAGTCTAGAAAGAAGGAATGTGTGCGTGTGTGTGTGCAGGCGCAAGAGCCACGTCTGTACAAGCCAATTCTCTGTTAATTCAGGTTTCAGCCACTACTTATCAGATGGGGGGGGGGGGCGGGGAAACAGGGGAAGAAATGCTGGTTAAAAAATAAAATAGGCACAACAATAAAAGATGAGGCTATTGCATTTTGAACCAATGGCACTGTGTTAACAGCACAACCTGCCCCTTCAAATGCCAGCCACAGCCCCTCCGATGGCTGTGACACTGCCGTTCTGAGGAGAGTTTGCCACTAACACAACGTGGAGGAGAAAGCAAAACAAAACAGCAGCCCTTCCTGCTCCTCTCCCCCACCCCTCTCTCTCCAGTCCCCCAATTTTAGGCTAAGAGAAGACCTGGCTGTGCTGCTGGGTGACCCGGATAAACGTTGTTCTCCTGCTCAGTTCCTTGAGTTTGGCAGCTCCCACGTAGGTGCAGGTGGAGCGCAGCCCTCCGAGGATGTCCAGGATGGTGAGTTCCACGTCCCCTCTGTATGGTACCTCCACAGTTCTGCCCTCTGAAGCCCTGGAGAAGAGACTGGTTACTGCATTGACATCTAGACACAAAACATAACAATGTGTTTACTGGAGCAATGTGGAGCTTAATACTCTGCATGCTGCAGTTTACAAACACTCCCCCAGTTCTATTGCTTGCTGGCCTGTTGCTGCTTGGTGTTCTCAAGCACTGAAATGCCTCAACTCCAGTCACCACCGATACTGTGAACTAGAAGCAGACAAATTTTGTAGCTGCTCCAATATCCCATGAGCGTATTTACAGATTTCCCCCCCCTTTCCTCGCCTCCACCATCTGCCTACAAGCAAGTGAAGCTTCCAGGATTATAGAAAGGTAGATATGACCTTGAGAGCTGCAAGCTTTAAAGTATAAGGAATGGTTAGGCTCAGGCAAGTTACAGGAATGCTGGAGCTGGTTCTCAGCAGCCACCCTCAGCACAGCCCTACAGAGGCTTCGCAGCCCCTGGCCTCTGTCCCATGTCACTGACCAGATGCAGATGGAAATGCTCTGGCTGTCTCTTACCAGCCCAATTGTCCAGAATCTACAGAGATGGAGTGGGAAACCTGTTATGGAAACCCGCTGCAGAGCTGTCCCCTGAAGCTAAAAGGTGAGCTCGCACAGTTCAGTCAGGCAAAAAGGCCAGAAAAAAAATAGCAGTGCTGTGAACACTGTCAAGCGTGTGTCAAGTATGGGCACACGCTGTCCCCCAAAAACACATCTGAAGAGCTACATGATGGAAGAATCCAGGCAATAAACTTTCACCCCTTCCCCTTCAACTTTCTCCAGCCTCATGCTCAGCAATTCCTCCTGCAGTGGAGTTCCCCAAACACCAGCTCATCTCACTAGGCTTTAAAGCAAGCTTGTTCTGCACAGCACACAGCTCCTTCAGAGCAGCAGGCCTTGGGAAGGGGGTCAGTGGGGAGAGGGGATTGCTCTCCTCCTTCTCTACAAAATGGAGGCAGAAATCAGGGCTGGGATCTGTCACTGTTGTAACTGTTGCTTTATTTACTTCTCCCTTAAACAAGCTGTCTAAGGGATAGTGCAAGAAAGAAAGGGCATGTCTGTTTGGAGGCTCCATTTGCAAATCATTAACAGCAACAGTTGCTCTGTGGAGGTACTTCAGTGGGAGCCTGGCTATATTTCATTGTGTTAGTTTAAATGTGAGGTCAAAGCCCTAGGGAGAAAATAAAGGAAAAGTGTTAGTACACCATGTGAATAAGGAACCATGATTAATCTCCCTACATCTGATGAGTAATTGACTCCTTCTTGAAACTCTTAAATAAACTGTAATAGGCAGCCAATGGAAAGCGTCTGTACCACTGCCATCAAGAGACTCCATGGGGCTCAGTGGTGTGTTGTAGGGCCTGCGCTGCTGGGAGTTCACAGGCTTTTATTTTCCACTCCAGTGCCAACAGGAAGAGAAGGGCTGGCCCACAAAATAGCACAAAAGTAGTCATGCTGCTGTTCTGCAGCTGGGTTTTTGGCCACACTGTCCAGTCAAAGTTGGGAGGTTCAGCTCAGCCTCCGGGGAGCTTCCCACAAGACTGTGAGAGACAGTGTGTGTCTGGGATTTTGGGGAAATCACTGCAAATTTCACCTACCAGTTCCTGCCACCTGAAGAGCTCTGCATGCTGTATTGGGCAAGATATGCAGGGTTTACTGCACTCATGCATGACCGCCAACTCAGTTCACACATGAGTGTCCAATTCAGTTATGCATGAATGCCCCATCAGTTCAAACATGAGTGCCCTGTTAATTCATGCTTGAGCATCATGTGGGGCATAAGTTTTGCTAGCAGAAGCTGATTGCAAACAAAGACAGCCCCAGTGTCTTTGGTCCACTGTGTTACAGTGGTTCAACAGACCTGCAGAGACAGGACCATTGCCTCCTAGAGCATGAACATTTGGCGGGGCACTTACAGCCACTGTCCCTGGGAGATGCCCCTGCAGTGGCTATGGTGGTGTTAGGAAGCTGGAGCTTGTGGGATGCCACTCTTGGCTTTGGAGACCAAAACCTACAGAAGTGGTGAACTAATGTCACAGCCCCAAAGCTCTGACAGCTAGACAGTTGCTACTGCTCCTCTGGTGTCAGCTGGTGGGATGCCCTGCTGACCAAGGAGTGACCTACTGATACCATACTGGGAGAAGCATGCTGGAAGAGAGCTGTGAGATTAGCTCCACAGAAAACACCAAGAGTCCAGTTTTACGTTCATCCTTGAAAAAAAGCGTCCAAAAGGGCTGAAAATTGTCCATACTCCCACCCGACATGCTAGGAATAACAGATGTTCCAGAAGGAAAAGGAGGAGTATAGGATGGAAGTGGGACAGAAATCTAGAGCTGTGAGTTAAGCAACTGCAAGCACAGCAAAAAGGTCAGAACCCAGTTATTGTTTTGGATGAGGAGCAAGCCCCAAGACAGCAAAGCTCTTTGGTGTGTCACCTTACTCCCCAAATGGGAAGATGCCCACACTGCTGCATGTGTACACACACACACTCACCCCATTTTGGATGTAAAGGAAGCCCTACAGGTACTGAACTCATGACCCTACTGGTACTTTCAACAATGGTGTTAATTTTAGCCTTGTACAATCTTAAATATATGCTTTTATGCTAAAGCAAAGTGAACTGCCAATACGTTTGTGTGTGTTTGTTTTGAAGGGATAAGTCCTAAGATTTGTAGCAAGTATTCAGATTATGATGACAGACAGAGGTCCACAGGGGCAAGGGGTAGAGTTTGTAATGGGTATACACTCAAACTGTTGGGGCTTTCTTGGTTATGTGTTTTGCAGAAACAGAGTGTGAAGATGGCAATAAGCATGTGCTCACATTGTTCTAATATTAACCTCCGTAGTTTTGTCCACAGGGACAAGAGGGGAAAGTCTGTGCTAAGTACATGGTCAGGCTGTGTTAACGTTAACCCCAACACTCTAGTCACCAAGGGACAGAAGAAGAGTTAGTAACAAGGGGGTGTCGTGAAAGCTGGCACCCTTGGCTGAGAGCTGCATGAGCAAGTCAGCAGGAACTGCTGAGGGATTTGCAGCTCTGACATCTCTTCCAGAGCTACAACCCGAAAGTGACCCTTTCTCAGAAAAGAAAGGTGAAAATGGAGCAACTGGAACTCTCAACAGCTGGGAAAGGTGAGCTCAGATGCTCTCAGCAGAGACTATGGCTCTCGCTAGCCACTGAGTGCTGAATAGAAAGGGAGAATTACTTGCTTTAGGCATGGGGTCCAATCTGCAGTGCACCCCGTAACTGGCCAGCTCCAGCCTGCTGCTGCCACGGAGGGATGCGTGCATGGGTGGGAATCCTGGAAGGCTGGATAGGGTGAAGCACACGTGAGGGTGCTCTCTCACCCCAGCAAAATGTGGGGCAGGACAAAGGGGTCAGGCTGACCTGGCATGAGGCAGCCTTCCCTATGAGCGGAGCATTTAAGAAATGGCCGGAATTGGGGGCAGGTCTTCCAGGCTATCATTTGGGATACAGAAAAAGACAGTAAATAGCAGCCAGCTGCTGGTGCTATTCTGTCTCTGTGGCCCAAATTCCACCCTACACTTAGTATAAAGTGCTAAAACCCAGCTCAGTAGCAGCTGTGAATTGCTGAGTGACCACAACAGAACCGCGGTGTTCACACAAACCCTGTGAAATCTCAAAAGGGTTAACAAAAGCAAATTGGCTCTAACTGAACAATACTGCAGTCTCTGCTCCTGCTTGCCTTATTTCTTTTCTCCCATAAAAGAAACCTAATAATTGCCTTTCAGAAATTCCCAGCTCTGATCCATGTTCCTCGTGGAAGGAGGTAAAAATGTAAAAATAAACCAATACATAAATGACATAAAAGTAATGAAACCAGGTACACAGATTTCATAGAAAATTAAATGGGATCAACTTGACATATTCATTACAAAAACAATTACTCTCACGACTTTTATTCCCTGCTACAGCCATCTCGCCTTACCTGTCAATTTTAATTTAACTGTTTGCTGGCTCAGGTTCTCCAGCCAAAATAAGTTATTTTGAGAAGATGAAGCTAAGTGACAAGTCGTCTGATTCTGCAGGGGACTGAGACACTGAGCTCCCCACTGCTTGAATGAAACATTGTGAGTGCTCAGACTTTTTTAAGACAAAACAGGTTATTGGGGTCACTGATACAGATGTAAAGCTGGGCTTTTTAAATGCATAGAAAGAAGCCCCACTGACTTGACCTGTTTGGGGTATCCAGCATTTAAAATGCTAAGTTAGAACACTTTTAGTTCAAGTCTGCCATAAGCTAAACTAGTAAGTGACTAAACTTCCTGTAACTTTTCCTACAATAATAATTCAAAGCAAAGCCTTGCCCTGTTTCCTATCGTCCCTTCAGTGCCCAGCACATTTACATTGCTGGAGAACTAACAGTTGCTATTTTTAAACCACAGTGACACTCATCACGCTGGGACAGGCGAAGCAAGACCAAGACCAAGGCTGGAATGGATAGCCAGCTCTGAGTCAAGGCTGCAACACAAACAAGATGAGAATCAGCTCCTTCACAGTTACCAGTCAGGGCTTACAGATTCAACGCTTGGAGCTGTTGTAGTGAGCAGTAGGCTGGGGACTCCTTCTGTCTTACCTGTTAGTGGCACAAAAAAGCAGCTTCTCAACAGGGACTAAAAATTTCAGATTGTGATTCTGCTCCCTTGTTGCTGAGAAGGTTTCAGAACTTGATCCCTAGGGGACTCTAAAATCAGGACCCAAATCAAAATAAAGCAATAGACCAAGCAGAATTTGTGTAGTATTGCCCATAAGGCAATAAACGGGTCTATCTAGACTGAGGCAAATACACCGCCTTTCTGTACACTCTTTTTTCCTACAAGACTTAATACTTGCACTTTATCTTATTTTTAAGGGAGACCAGTATAAATTATTTCTCCTGCTGGCAACAAATTTTGCCAACAACTACACCCCTACCTAGGTGGAGCAGAATTTAACAGCTGCCTTAGTCCTTTGGCCCACTGGCACAACAAGCTTTCTCAAACTTTTCCTGCAACTTTCACTAGCTGTGTGGTGGCCAGGCCCTGACTGACTATGGCTGCACTGAGATCCACACAGCACGCCTGGGCTGCTCTGGGCTTGCTCGAGGAGCTGCCATTCATTAACTACACGCCTGAGCAGCATCAGGCCTTTCCCAGACTCCAGCTGACACAAGCACAGGGTAGCAAAGGACAGTGAGATACCATAGTTCAGATAAAAGGGTGCCAGCACCTCTGTGTAACTGGCAGCTGCCACTTTTAAATTATGAGATATTACTAGTGCTGTCCACTCAGCCCATTTGTTCAGAGGCTTTGATGACAAGCAGATTCAGTGGGGGACAAAAAAAGGCCCAGAACTGTACACAGCTTCTGGGAACTGGCATATGAACCCAGAGTAAATCAAAGGGTAGAGGTACGCAGCACGTCTTTCTGGTGCCGCATTTCAGCTTGTCTCAGGTGCAGACAGACTCTTGTGCAGCTCTTTCTTCTGCAAATAAACATTTGTGCTTGAAAGCAAAAGCAAACTGAACCTGCAGCACCAAAAGAGCCTTGCAGGTCAACCAGGTGGAAAGCCAATCACATGGGCTGCTCCCCTGAGCAATCTACTGGCTGTCCTCACTGCAGCCAGATATCCTGACGATAATGGTGCTTTTAACTGGTACGGGTGCAGCCCCATATGAGATTAAAAAAACCACCTTGTGCATTGCTCACTAGCTTCTGAGCTGAGCCCTGGAAAGAGGTACATAGGCTCAGGTAAACCACTCAAGACAGACACGTATGTCCTCCTCAGGCAGAAGGTAAAGCTATCCCTGTCCCCTTCTCATCCGATTAGATGCAGAAAAATTCTGGCTTGAAAATCTGCCAGGATTTACATGTTCTCCTCAAATTACAGTAGTCACTGTATATTTTTACTTGTTAAGAAATATCTTTTTTTTTTTTTCCTGCAAAACCAAATGTCCTTGGAACTTGCCAAAACTCATCACAAGATTTTTTTTGCCCTTGAAAAACTCTTTTCAATCATCTCGCATCCCTGTGTCCAACTGGTTTTCTTCTCTTCAGAAGTCTTCCTCAGAAAGTAGTACTGAACCAGACTGCGTCTAGCAGGCACAGACTATCTGCTAAGTGCAGTGTCCACAAGCTGTCTGTTTCCCCATTTTCACATAGGCTTCTCTTTTAATGAGCCTGGGTTTTCTGCCAGAGCAGGAAAGCTAATGACTTCATTTATCTCCAGGTCTCTCCTGCACAATGTCTTCCAACAGCCTGCCTTAGTCTCCATTATTACTGCAGTCTAGGAGCTCATAATAAGCAGGTTGGGACACTTAGGCCAAAGGTGTAAATGCTCTGAAGCAGGCTATGTCTCACCACTTTGTAAAGTGCTAGGTGAACTAGTGCACATTTTTATGGTGTATTTTAACTATTTAGAAGTGTCAGACAAAAACCAGATCCAATTGCAAGGTGGAGGACAGGAGGTGGGATCAAAGGTGCTTTCTATCTAGTGTGATCTATGAGACTGCCATGGTCCTCTCAGCATGTCTCTGTGTCAAAGTGTGAGTTCCATTTTATTTTGTGGATCCCATTCTGCTTTACATTCTACACTGTCAACTTCACAGTGCTGCAACTCATTTCCGTGGTAGCAGCTGGACACATTGGGGAAAACCCACATGCTGAATAGTTGCAGCAGATAGGGCCAACAAACCCCATCAGGCCTGAACATCTGGAACAGTAGGTAAGGTCACTGAATCTGAGACCCTTACAAACAGCAGTTTACTAGATGGATCCAGAGCCTGAATCTACCCCAGCAGAGGAGAAGAGAATGAGAGACCCCTCTTACAGTGTAAACTGTAAGACAGGTAAGATTCTCTAACAAAGTATGCAAGAACCATGGCAGGGGGCTTGGAAGTCGATGATCTTTAAGGGCCCTTCCAACCAGAACCATTCTATGATGCTGTGTTGTCTAAGGACAGTGACTATACCTGCTGCTCCTAAGAGAAAAGACACAGAGGTTCCCTGGAGTCATCTGCTTTTTTCAAAAAGTCAAAAATCTCATCACTTTCTGGAGGAAAATAGCAAAGGACAAGAGATTCCTTTGCAAAGCCTTTCTTCCTTTCCTCCCCTCCCTAAGGATTTTAGCTCAAAACCGAAGGTCCCACATGCTGCATGATTTGGAGCTACTCTGGTGCTCTGCTACCCAAAAAGAGGTGGGAAATCCGTTCAGCAGGATTCTGCTGCCTAAGAAGTCTGCCCAACAAACAGAGAAGGGAGCGCTGGGGGTACTGCCTGTGACTGAGAGTACTCTGGAGTTCCTGGGCCCTCATTAGTATTACAGCTGTAACAACTCCTTACAGGGGAAACCTCAGCTGAGCTCCACCCATTCACCAGGCACCCCCTTTTTGCAAACAGAAGGGAGCATGTGGGCCAGCCAGGAACCCATACACTAACAGGACACCTAACCGAGACAAGCAGAGGGCCAGAAACTGCAGCCTGGTGTGCCATGTTCCAGCATTTAATTCATACACATTCCGAGAGACCCGTAAGTCAGAACAGTGTCTAGTGACTCCCCAGACCACGCAGCTCATGCTGCAGTGACAGCACACTGCACTGGCTGCAATCAAGTGAACACGGTTGCTCTCAGCTAGCCACCCCCAGCTCCTTCTCCCTATCTCCCCCTTGATGTCATCCCTCCCTCAGATCTGCTGCCGTAAGTGTTGGTAACAGCTTCCTAAATGGAATAGAGGCACGGGCCTGTTTCCAACAGATGCCTTTTGCACAATTCTGCTGCAGAAGTTACTGGCTGTCTGGCTCACTGCAATTGCTACTGTGTGGAATTCATACCTGTATTCAGCAACCCCTCCTGCATGCTTCTTCATGGCTGTATCAGAGCTCATTCCATAGAAGAGTTTCACCTTCTTGCCATTCTTTTCCATAATCTCTCCAGCACACTGGTCATGGCCTGCAAACATTCCTCCAAGCATGACAAAATCGGCACCGGCTCCTGTGATCAGCAAAGTGACACGTAAGGAAGGAGGGAAGGGAGAAGAGGGTAAAAGACATAGCAAGAACACAGTGGCCTCCAAAAACAACAGCCAGCCCTAAATAATTCCGTACAGAGAGTCCTCTCCTGTAAGAGATGCAGCAAACTTGAAAGAAATACTTTACTGAAGAACTGACACATGCTGAATTGTATTTCTCTGATATTTAAAATTGAAAGAATCCTTTTCTGTTGTGATGACAAAGACATAGATTATTCTACCCCCCCCCCCCTTTCTTTTCCAATTCAGTTTTAACCCTTTACTAGTAACTTTTAATCTGAGTATCTAACCCTTTAATAGTATCTGAGCACAGTTTCTTATTAACTAGCATATTGAGTACAGTACTTAGAAGCCCTAATCACAGGGCTGGGACCTGTTGAGCTCAATACTGTACAGAGAAGAGAACAGCTCCTACTTCAAGATCTTTCTAGGCCACAAGCTGTGAGTGGGAATGTACCCTGAAGGAAGGCATACACATGAATACAATGTGCTCCTCCCAACACTGACATAAAACAAGCAGATGGATTTTTCAAATCCATCAGCCATTATGTGCTCAGTGTAGGTCTGGGTGAGCCCTCGTCAAAAAGATCTGGATAGGTCAACATTTGGTTCCTGTTGTTTAAAAACTCTGGGCCAAGGATCGCCACCCCTGGGTTCTGTGGTACTCAGCATGCACCACTAAGGAGGTCTAAATAGGTTCCAGATACCAAATAACACTCAGTCATGCCTGTTCAGTCTGTCCATCTTCCCTGGCTTTGCAAATCATGAAATCAATTCCACTAGGAGTAAAATCAGGAAGAAGGTTTTTGGAATCACTCTTGATTTTCTACTGTGATTTCCAATATTTCCAGCTGGGCTGGAACTATTCCACCAGCAGCTCCTCCTGTATCCACTAGATATTTTGGCATATCTAGTCTTGCTTAGAAAAGTTTGGCTTTTACTCTTTTATGAGCCTGTGGTGACCCATCCCTGAAACAAAGCATTTTCCTGTTCAGACTCTCACTTCTTCAATGTGTATGTGTCAGAACAGGCCTCCCCTCTGCCCAGTTTCTTCCCAGAACTGGCAAAAGAACAGGGCCATAAACCTCACTTCATAGAAAGCATATGAGCCTGAACTAACCCCACCCCGTTACGAACATGTCCGAACTCTGGAGAGATCCCAGGTTAGGTATGTCTGGCATTAGGATTTGCTCTCATCTCTGTCACCATCCAAACAACAGCACCAGACCTTGAAATCTGACGAGTACGTGAAATCATTATCAAATCTGCTCAGCTTCTGCCACCTGTTTAAAAGACAAACCTGAATTTGGGAACATTTTGATCTTAGAATACATGACAACTGTGGAGTGTGCACTGATTTATAAAAGCCAGTTCCCTCCCTCCACCCCTTTGCCCAAGAGCAGACCTAGCAGCAACGCCTGGGAGCAGAGCACCCACCTGCTCTGCTGACCTCGCCTCCCTTTGCCTGGCTGTTGTTTGAAAGGAACACTATGTCCGTGGTAAAGGGATATTAAAATTTAGGCTAAAATAAACTGCTGAGCACATCACAAGCAATATTTATAGCCAGGCACCCATTCAGGTGTCCCACCATGCCAGCTACCTGGCAGATTTCTCCTGAGCTCTCTTGTTTCATATGGCTGAATTCTAGTCTTACTTTGATTCATGTCTGATACTACTCTTAACCTGCCAAAACCCAAGGGAACGTTCATCCTTTAAGTCATTCTCCATTACTGGTGGGGAGCTCCTGTTGTTACCTGACATAATCTTGCTCCATCTTTGCAAAAAATAGTACTCTGGGAAATCTAGTTGATGTCTCTTTCATGGGCGGAAGAAAACATAATAAGGAAGGAGGGACAGATTTGAGGCCAAGGTTTCAAAGAGGGCCTTTAAACAAATCAAAGGCCTGCCAAAGGACACTCTGGACTCTTTGCCTTGTCAATACTATCGCCCACTTCCTAATTCTAGTCCTCTCTCTGGTTATAGATCTCACAGCCTCCAAATTACTAATGCAAAACAGTCACATGAAATCTACACCTCAGAATCACAGAATTTTGGTTCGTCTGCACTTAAGTATCTATTCATTATTTTTCTTTTCATTGCGTATTTTGGGAGGAAAGCAAGTATGTTTGAATTACAGGATTGAAATTCATCCAACTTGAGTAACTTTTGCAAAGTACAACATAATTCATCAAGCTCTTCCAGAAGAGACGAGCCATGTTACAGCAGACACAGCACGTCTACTCATTGGAATGACACATGCTTACTGCCCTGCAGCTCCAGGAATGGCAAGCCCATATTAAATATACTTTTCCAGTGCTCTCCTGAACTTTCCACCCTGCTTCAGTGTTGCAAAGATGTCTGAGAGTTTCAAGCCTGTTCCAGTACTTTTCTGCCAGTTAACAACCAACCAGAAGGCTTGCTTTCTTTACTTATACTTGGGTTTTGTATGACCAGAAGCACTGGCAATGTTTGCAACACCCAGCTACAGTCTCTCATTTTTAAGTACAGATAGACAGTGTGCCATTACTTTAGGTTGTGGGGTACTGGGAACACCTGGCAACAACCCCCTAGGTAACACAGGATGTGATAGAGTATGTTGCATACAAGTGTCCCAATAGCTCACCCAGAGCTTGCTAAACTTGTCCTGTTTCTACACAATGCAAATTCAATGCACTGATGCTGGGGAGGACTTCCCCCTTGAGGCCTATGCTGTATGTGGGCTGATTTTGCTCATTCACATTTCACAGTGCCTTCTCTTTCAAGCCCTTAAGGAACATGTGTCCTGACCCCAGCCCAATCTTGCAGCACTCACACGGTTCTGCTGGATCTGGATGGAGTCCCTCCGATGTCTTTTGTATGCCTGATAATATAAGTGACTGATAACCAGATTGGCTCTGCACAAATTCAGCTGGAGTCAGCCTGGATTTGTAGCCTGGGCAGCCCTCCAGGCAGATGCAGCATAAATTTGCCTGGACCACAGCTGGCCCTGGAATCAACATTCACCTGGGCTCCAGCTGAGCCAGCGAGCCTTTGCAACAGTAGATATACACACTGCTATTGAAAACAGGAAAAAAAAAGCCAGTATGATCTGTCAGGTATATTTTGGAACCAGCATATGTCCCCATTTGACTTTTCCACGCTTTTTCCTTCCTTTTCCTTCCCTGCTCCTGTATGTCTTCTCACTCTGCTGTAAGGAACAGCAGTATTGTGTTAAAGATGCTGGCGTAGTATTCAAAAGGCACATGCTGTTCCTGACTGTGTCACAAAAATATATGTGACCTCAGGCAATTGAACTTTGTATTTCTGTGCTTTGACTTCTCATCTTTAAAAAAGGAGACAGTAGTGCCTCCCTGGGGTATTCTGAGAAATGCGGTCATGGTATCAGCCTTTCCAAGGGTGCAGTTATGAGAACCATCTGAGAGCCCAACACAAACTTATTTCATACTTTCCTTCATTCCTGCATCGAAACACCTCTTTTCTTCCTTATCAACCTACATCTTTTCCATTATCATCTCCAATACAAAGATGGCAGTGACATCTTCAGTTTACCAAATCCATATCAGGTTCCTATCCACCAATTCCAGAATTCCAGCAGTTTCTACCAAAGTATCTGTCGCTCCCAGCATTTCGTACTCCACAGTCAGTGCTTCTCTGTTCCTTGCCTTTTTAAATAGGCTTCTACCTTGTTTCCCCTCTGTCAAAATGCCCAATCTGACTCCTGACACCAATGGTGTCACCCTCCACTTGTAAAGCTTCTCAGCATCTTCTTCATTGTTCTTCACAATTCTTCACTTGCACTCAATCGACTTTATTCCTCCTCTGTTCCTATGAACTTGCCTCCTTCAGTCACACCTTTAGCCATTTGTAAATGACAGCCTTCCCATCTGGGACTCCCTCACACTTTTCATGATTCAAATTGCTGCTTTGTGATGGTTTTATAATGACCACCTCAGCATCCCTTTCCTGAAGACTTTACAATGATCCACCATAAAGAGATAATATAATCACTTTAATCAAAAGTCCTCTTTGGGTCTCTTTATGCTTCATCCAGGCCTCCATCCCCAGGTGAAATTGTACATCTGCGTGGTTTAGCACCCAGTCTCTGCTGTCCAATATATTTATGCAGCTCCTCCCCACCAAGGGGCTCTCAACAGGCAGAGAAGTCTGTACTAGACAATTCAGTATCATTATCAAGGCTTTGGCTTGTAAATGCTGGGGATGGAGGCTATCTTCCACGTGGCTCACATAGCCAATCACCTAAATAGTATTCAATAAACACTGATAGTAATAACGTTATCTAGAAGCTTATTTTGCCATCCACCTTTGACAAATGCACACATGGCTCCAGCTAGTCAAATATCCAGTGTGTCTGCCTCAATTATAGATAACCAGATATGGTAAGTTTATTGCCTCAAGGAACTGTACCTGTGACACACTGGTCAGACCAATCTGTCTGGCCTATTGTCAGAGCACAACTTCTGCCTGTATAATCTCAGCTTTCTGATGCTCTTCTGTCCAAGGGACAACCCATGGTAGCCTTCAAACACATACCACTGTGAATCCCAGCATCTCCTGACAATCAGCAAGGCCTCAATCTGCCCTTTCACATATTTCAAGAAAGTTTCTATTCAGTTAGCCCAAAAAGATTACAAGGACCCTTAAGACTCACTATAAACATCTCAAAGGAAAATATTTTAAACACTTTGAAGTTCCTTCCTGTTGTTCTAACTTCTGGAAATGCTCTTGTTGAAGAAAGACCTTTTCCACAGGCTAGGTTTCTGCACAGGCAGCTGGGAATGCAGTGAGGTCACAACCCAGTACACAAGCTCCCAACACAACGCCAGCAAGAACCGGGGGAGTGGAGAAGCCAGCGAAAGTCAGGCAGAACAAAGGTCTCACTGCAGGCGGCATGATGTCAGAGTGGGCTGGGCTGAGGAGAGGTCGGGTGTTTTTTTAATACAATCTTGTTGTCAAAGAGGGTGGATGCCGCTGTTCAGCTCTGTCAGAATCACCCAACTGGAAGTATCTATTCCCTACGTCACGTCACCCACTGGGTAACACAATGGTGCTGTGAGATCCTGTGACTGACCAGATTCCTTCCTGGTAGCAATCACACCACAGCTGTGCTTAAAATTCTCTAATTAAGTCTTCCTTGTCATCTGACCTGTCTAAAAACAGGAGCTGTCTGCAAACTTAGAAGACAGATTTTGGTTTCAACCTTTCCAGGAGGCCCAGAGTTTTTCTTGGCAGGTCTGTAATCTGAGTTTAGGCCTGCCCCTGCTTTCCATACTTGCAAAGCTTCCTGCCAAGCAGAATGTGCTGTATCATAACGTCCTACCTCTTCTATCATAGCACCCTGAAATGCCAACGAGACACTGTGCTGGCCCATTCTATACTGCGTATTACCCCAACGTGACATCTCTAAAAGGTCTGGCATTTTGGGGGGTAGGGGACAGTCTTTAAGTGTACTGCTAGTCCAGGATGCATTTAGTGCCTTGTTCACATATGCTACTACATCAAGGTTATGGCTAAGTGACAATCCTGACCTTGACCCTCCCATACCGATGTAACTTTCATGGCCAATAGAAAATACTCACAGATTAAATGTTCTAACAGCAAGAGCTGGTGTAATTCACTGAAGCTATTGGCACGAGAGCAAAATCTGTTAATTATTAACTTAGATGTTTTAGACATCTGCTCAGCTCTAGGGGATACAATATAAATAAAATCTCATCTCTTCAAGTTTACAGCTGATCCCAAGAACATCTCCAGGGATCTGTCCTGCCTTTTTGTTTTGTTCTTCTGTCCAACAAACATTCCACCATCTCTATGTCCATTCAAGGCCAAAGTCACCCAGATCTAGCAATGTTGCAGACATCTTTGAACCCTACTCAGAAGAAACCCCTATCAGTTTTCTTTGTACTACTGTCCCAGTGGCTGTATCTCATGCACGTCTGGCAGATAGTTTCTAAATAGGACTTCGACCACTGTATGTTTTACAGCGCAGAATTTGGACTGTCTGGTCCAAAGAGCAAATTCATGTCTGGTTTATTAATTTCACTGGAGTCACCCACAGGGACGAATGTAACCTACTGCTGATTACACATTCAGGGTCAAATTGACTCCTGCATCGCTGCTGACAGTGCTGGAGATACGCGGGGTGTACCGGGTGGCACTACACGCTGTCCTTACCAAAAGCTTTGGCGACATCTCCTGGACAGCTGCATCCTCCGTCCTGCAGAAAGAAAAGACAGTGAGTGACAGTTGAGCTCACTCAGGGACCTGGTGAGCACTGGTTGCTCCACAACCTCCAGCAGAAAGGCCCCTCTTCAGGAAGTCAAGAAGTGACTGTGCACCATTGCTACACATCATCTTGGCTGAGTTTTTAGGGAATCCATATTATCCTTTCTATTGCTTTTCTTCTTTAGGTTCATTTACTCTGCCATATAGTACCATTTACCACTGATAACAGCAGCAACGCAAATTCCTGACTGCAATTTCCTAAGTACTAGAAACTGGAAAACAAAAACTCATCTGATGATCTGAATCATTCCCTGCCATTTTAATTAAAGGCCACGCGATGCAGAGGTACCACAAACCCCTACCTTCAACGACCAAAGACATTTAAAGTAACTTTCTCAGCAGTTTACAATACATTAAAAGGTCACAGTGGGAGGGGTGAGGAAACACACCATCAGCTATGTTGGATTTTGATCTGATAATCTCTAAGCAAATTGGGTAATCTAATCTTTGGTAAGTGAAAATGAATCTCTCATCATGGGTTTGGTTAAGAAGCAGCACTTTGTGATCTTTAGCATTTTAGATCTGTGTTTCAGTTTCAGTGCAGAGCAAAGTAGTGGCTGATCAGGGGGTTTCAGTTGAGGGGAGGGAAGCTATGTATGTGTGACAGGGCTGTAAAAAAATGGATGGCACACAGCAGAACTCGCCATGGGCTATGGTTCTATAGGTTTGTAAAGGTCTGAGCATCAGACAAAAGATCCTTCTACTCTATATAGTCATTGTATCAAGAGGGCTCCCAATTCCTTTGAAGATGAGGGTCTGTTGCAGATTGCCCACAGCTTTCCTGCTTTTGAAGCTACTCCCCAGACTGCACGGTTACTCCATTTGTTTCCCCTCCCTGTTGGCAGAAATGCATGCCCGGGTCTGACCTGCGGCTGAGCACAGCCAGACACCCCCACCATCAGCCATTTTAGAGCTGGCTTTTGCAGGTAGCTGGCAGCGGGGCCGAGCGTTAGAACCTCTCTGTGTGCAGAAAAGGATTCAGACACAAACTGAGCAGGTGGATTCGAAAGTGAGTGGCTTTTCAAAGGGCATCCCACTGCAAACAGCACCTGGTAGCAGTATAAAGGCTTTTATTCCATTTGCTGATAACCTCTAGCATATTATGCCTTTTTTTGAGCTAGACACTCTTACTGTCAGCTCCAGAAGAGAGTGCTGGGCTGACAGCTGAATTTCTCTCTCCTGTTAAGGGCTTTGCTTGTGCAATTCTTTCCCTCTGACAAGTCTGTCAGAGCTTGGAGGAAGGTGTGAGTGTGCGTGCATGTGTCAGGGGAGGAAGAGCCGAGATAGAAAGAGAGGGTCTAATAATCTTAAAAGAGTAGTGTCAGGAATTTGCCTGACTTACTCTGAGACAGACTGGCTATGAATGCTCTCTGGTAGGTGGGTTCAATGTGTGGCTCAGTGTCTGACTTCTGTAATTAACCTGGTAGTGGCAGTGATGGAGTCTTTATGCTTTCAGAAGTACCATGAGGATGGAGGCCTTACTGTGTAATCATTAATCATTGGCTTCAAGAAATACCACTTTGAATGTCATCGAATTACAAAACGCTGAGCAGATTAAGTGACTTTCCCAAAAGCTCGTAAGTTACCATTTAAGATAGAAGGAGCTGATGATGATGATTCACAGCACTTATCTGTAGACGTCTCCACTTACTTCACATAAACAGGTAAATTTAATGATTCACAGAAAGGGAACAAAAAGAGGACATACTAAGCAGTAATGTCAGAAGATGCTATATAATAAAGCTATATGCATTAAACCACTTCATTCCATGTGAAAAATCAAGCACTTTGTTTAGAAAATAAGACTGTGCTTCTGCTGCATTCAGTCTGGGAAGCTTCCCCTTGCAATTCAGCTCATCCCAACAGGGGCTTTGGTCTGGACTCAAAATGACTTGTAGAACTGCTGGGCTACAGTCATGGAGCTTGTTGCAGGCTCAGCCTCTACCTCAGACCCTAGGGAAATGTATCTGTACAAATAAATACTCCTATGAATTCAGGAGGACTGGCATTACTCTGAAGTAAGCCTGCTGGAAAGGGTGGCCATGGGGCCTGTAGAGGACGTGATTCTGAGACAACTGGGTGCTAAGAGGAAGGAGGGAGGAAAACAGCTTTTTAACACAGCTAAAATAAGTTATTTTCCTCTCTCTTGTTTACAGAACAGATAAACCATTTAAAAACAACAAAATTTAGCCTAAGGAAAAGAAATACAGTATGGAAAACCAGTATGAACTAGTTAAATATTTAATATTATATGCAAATTAGAGTAAGTTTATAACGATGATTTATATGTTTCAAGCAACTGTATAACAGCCCTTCCTACAGTATTAGCAAACAGATAGGTATTTATTGTGCAGAAGATACATAAAGTATATGGTATATACAGCAGTAGAAATACATATGGTGCTTTATTCTGAACTACATATGCAGAGCATATTTCTGTGTGGAAAGTGTTCTGTGTGGAGGAAGAGATGATATGGCAGTAGCTGGGTGAAGAACCCCTTAGTCATCCCTTTCACTGAATGCTGGTGGCCCATCACCCAGGCAGGGCGAAGGGGAAATAGGGATCTCTATCAAACGATAGCCAAATGAGAGAGGACACATGCAAGGCTGTTTTCCATTCCCCACATTGCTGGCTTACTAGAATACGTGACTGCCTCCCTATCCAGCAAAGTACTTCTCTGACCTACAAGAAACAGAAACTTTATCTCAAGTAGGGTGTTTCTGAAGGAGCTCTCCTGCTAAATGGCCTCTCCACTGTAACTCACTGCTGCACCTTCTCAAGGATTAGCGGGAATGAAAAACGAGACCATTGGCACCCTGACAAATAGCATGGGACAGAAACCGTGCCTGTATCTTAGACAGGGTTTCCTCTCTTCTTTCAGTGAGTCATGAAAGATTCATTTCTGAGGTGAGCTTTGAGTCTTAAAGATAATTTAGCTTGAGGACAGTAACTGATGCAATTTCACCTCCCCCTTCACTGTGTAAGTGACTCTAGAGAGACACCAGGCGTTCACTTGGACTATCGTGTTTGTCTAAAAATTGTCACCTTGTCACTGTATCAGCTCCAAAAATCATACATGATCGCTTCAGTAATAAAAACATGTTTAAAATCCCAGTTTTTGCTAACATCCTAGCAGAGCTACTGGAGCTTCAAGCATGCTGAGCTCCTTGCAGTGCCTGTACTGTGCTCAGCACTGTCACTGTCTCATTCTGTGAGTGGGGCTTCTTTCCCTTCATACCTAAGATGAGCTAACATAACAAGAGGAGCAATTCAATGAAGGTACTGGACAAGACAGAAGTGGATGCAAGAAAGCACCTCAATGGACTGACCCATGTCATGCCAGCAGCTACAATCTACATGAAGATAGCTGGTAGGCTTTGAATCTTTTCATATCCTTCCTGCCTTTTCCATATCAATATTACAAAAAAAACCAACAACCTGTTGGACATGTTTTCTCCTCAAGAACTGATGTTGATAGCTGTGGTAATTGATTGTAGAGGTCTCCTTTGGCTCAGGTAGGGGGTGCCCCTTCCTGAACCTACATGACAATAATGAGACATTTTGAGGGATGCTATGTGTCCTTGCTGCCACTAGACCCAGTTACAAGCTTAGGCTTGGTCCTGTATGGTGTTTTTCCCTCAGGAGGATACCCCTCTTTTGTGATACTCTTGCCAGAGCTCTGGCAATGACCACGCAGTCCAGTCTTTTCTTTCCCCAATAAACACACCAATACCTATCTGAACGCTGCAGAATTCAGACATAATATCCTCACCCTTGCTTTAGTCTCCTTAGCTGGGGTGACAGAGGTGAGTTGCACTGGTGTTAGAGACCCCAGTTACAGCTTAAGGCCCAGATGTTGTAGCCGACAGGTATGAAATTTCCCTTCTGTACTCCCCCTGTAATGGTCAGGGGGTTGATAAGTATGGACTTACTGAAGACAACATGACCTAAGCAGGTCAGGAACTGATCTATCTGCAAAGCAGCAAAGGAGAGGAGGAATAACACAGAACTGTCTCATTTTTCAACAGCCAAAATACACACTCCCTGTTTTCTTGTAAAATCAGGGTAGTAACTTTCTTCTGAGAGTTGCTAGCAGAAAATGATGATTGCAAAACTAGGTTGGGTCTCTGAGCACCACTGCTAGGATGACACCTATAGTTATCCAGCCTTCATAGTAATGAGTCAGTCTTTCATGCTCTATTGCACACATGTTCTGCTGTCTGCTATAGGCATAAACATTTGCAATGCTGCCCAAGTCATAAAATCACAGACTGCTTTTCCTTTTTTTTTTTCAAAATTTGTATAGGGTAGCCACGAAGAGGAGGAAATGCACATGCATTAACAATAAAGAGCAAGACAAATCTGACTGTAGCACATGTTTTTCTGCTCCATTATACCCACACCTCCAAGAATACAGTTAAGCCCTTTGCTCATCCACAACCAGTTTGTTCTCCTCTCCCCTCCTTCCTCAACAATACAACACACCCCTTTCCTCATAGAGATACTAGTCACAACTGGGTTGAAAAAATCAGTGCCTTCCAGTGATTTCATATGGCAGTAGATGTAAAATTCAGCATGGTCTCTTCTAGGGCCACAGAGGAAGACTGTTGGCTCTGAGCACACCTGTGAGCACAGCACACTGGTTAGCCCCTGTGCCTTCTGGATGACCACTCGCCCCACAGCCAGCCTGCAGAGTGTGCAAGCCTGACAAAGCCTTTGGATGCTGTAGGCTGCAGCCTAGCTCAGTCTGAGGCCATGCTTACAGATTTACTTTTTCTGTGTGAGGTGAATCTGGTCTTACTGGTAGAGTGGAAGCTGCCATTAGCAGACAGTACAGATACGTGCTCTTTTCTCTCCACAGGCTCGTTATTTCCCCAGAGCTTTGTGAGAACTTAAGTGGCTCACGTGCCAGCTGCACTCAACAGAGCCAGCTCTGAAACATTCCTGCTCCTGCACAGAGAGCTCCGTGAGGATGCTATGTGAATCAATCCAGCTACTGCAGCACAGATGGGCTCATATCATTTTACCTTGTACTCTCCTCTACTCTATGTCTGTCCCTCAGTCCCACCCTCTGGGGAAAGCCATGTTTACATCTCACTCATTTTTCAGAAATCTTTCATAGGAATTATTGTTGGCCTCCATGTGAAAACAATCAAAAACAAAATAAAAAACAAAACAAAGATATCAAGCTTCCTGTTCTGCTCACGTAACAGCTTACTCCATTCAGGGAGCAATAAGCAGCTTTCCAAAGGCACAAAGAGGAGTGAGGTGCCCAAGTATTTTTAAACATTAGCGAGAGTTGGTTTCTTTATGTTTAAATCTCCACACTACTCTAGGAGCCAGTACAGGGGTAAACTGGAGATGACACAAGGATAGCCTTTAACACGCAGAGTACTGGACTGTTTGATTCTCCTATTCCACAACAATTTGCACAGTGGGGATCTGACAGCAGATGATATTTACTTACAGAGATGATATGTCCTTTCAAGCCATGTGCTGAGTCTGCACATTCAATAACAGCACTTAGCTGTGGATATCCCACCCCTGTCTTAATCCGAGTGGTACACACAGAACCTAGACAAAAGAATGAGAGAAAAAACACAGCCCATTAGACTGCAGAAAACATACATCTTGTTTTCTTTTACTTGTGGAAAAAACCACATTTATATCTGTACTGGTTTTTCCCTCAAAAAGTCTCTGTTGGAAATGTTGGCTTCTCATGGATAAAAGGAACACGTAGGGCCTTGAGTTTTGAAATGCTATAATACCACTTTATGGGAGCTGTAGTTGAGGTGACTAATATCCCCCCTTTCTTCTCCAGGGCCACAATTCCCAGTTTTGGTCTCATCAGTAATGCTTCCTTGTGAGGGAATTACTGCATCACGAGAAAGCAAATCTGACTGAGGCGCCCAAAGTACAGGGGAGCAGAAGGACAAGAGTCACAGCCCGTGAGACTCAGCAGCAGCATTTAATACTTCTTCCAATAAATATTTCTAGCTCTTTTCTACATACGTTTTTTAAAACAATTCTCAGGCAAAAAGTGTGCCTTTTTTTTTTTTTTTTTTTTGGAGATTTCCACAAGGGAGAGAAAACCATCTTTTGCCTAATATTTAAAGCAGAAATATTTGATTGATCGCAATAGTTGGGAATATAAGAAAACCAGCACAGTCTTTCAAAAAATATTTCTTGCTTTTTTTTTCATACATTTTTTAAAACAATTTTCAGGCAAAAAGTGTTCCTTTTTTTTTTTTTTTTTTGGTGGAGATTTCCACAAGGGAGAGAAAACCATCTTTTGCCTAATATTTAAAGCAGAAATATTTGATTGATCGCAATAGTTGGGAATATAAGAAAACCAGCACAGAGCATTTGAAACGTGAGGTAAGTACAGAAAGCTGTATAGTGCAGTATTACAGGAAATATACTAATTGTATCTGATTACGAAACTATATTATTTATACACATACATGGTGCATATATATATGTATGTACAAAAATAAAGGTGTGTATATATATAAACCCACTTCAATTATAGTTTAACTGGTAACATGGCTATAGATATTGTGGATTATGTTCTCTATTCTTCTCCTCAATTTAAGAGTCAAAATGAAGACTGCTTTTTGCCAGTTCAGGTCCTATGATTTAGGATACGGACCATAAAGGTAATTTTAAAAGAGATTCTGCACCTAATACAGTAAAGTCTGGATCCCTTCACCCAGCTGATATTCAGGTATACTCCAGCTACCAGTAAAGTAAAAGTTGCCAAAGATCTTTCAAAGAACTGACAAGGTAAAAACACTGAGAAGTATTTTTGCAAAGTAGGAAGAAAATTAGTTTTAAAATAATCTCCACAGAGGATGTACTTATATATGTAATGCTTTATAATAAACTGCTGCCATTTTCCATAGGATGGACAATTATCTGGAAAAGAGCCTCAAGATTTGATCTTCTCTTAGGAACATTTGTTACTTGTAGGTTTTGGGTCGTCAGCTTATACAGATCTTTCAGGAAGATCTCCAGGGAGGGGTACACAGCTTTACTCCTATTTCCACTTTGAGGCTACAAACAATATTTCTTCTTTTATGTCTGAGCTTGCCCATCACAATTGCACCATGACATCTCTGTTGTTTATTCTTCATGTATTTTGCAGGATTTATTGTTTGCTGTCTTTCTGGGCACAACTGCAATCTTTTTTACATCATTTGCTCTGCTCCCATTATCCATTCATGAACCATAACCATTTGGCACTGTAAACAATCTGCCTGCACTGGCTGATCACAGCTATATTGTGACTGGCACTTGTGTTAACCAGTTTAAAATCTAGTCCACTTATAGAAACCCCAGCTGCAGTCTATGAAGAAAATACAAAGAGGAAGGAGCACACAAACACACAAGGGAGGGAAAGAAAAAGGGAAGACAATATGGCAGTATATGCCAGACAACAATATTAGGGAAGAGAAAGTAGGAAAAACACTCTAAGAGGTTTAAGGTCCTCCCATTTATCCATGGGAATGTTACAGTGATAGGTAATATAAGTGCATTAATATAAGTATTTTTGCTTCCAGGCAATAGTAACAGGTAGAGGCAATGTTACCCATACTTCATGCTTAATTAATGCCATTTACTCTTTGAAGACATTGACAAGACGGGCAACCTAAGCTTATCAGAACACAAATCATAAAGCTATTTAGAAACCCATCTTTCTTTGACAGAAGTGGATACCCGAACACAGTATCCTTTGACCTGGAATGGCTCGGCCTCTTTTCAACAGGCTAGAAAAAATGTTCCTAAACACAACACATATTATCATTGATAATGTCAGCAGTTCAGGCAACTCAGTGCTTCCAATAATAGGCATCTTCACTGCCAGAAAATGGACAATTTAACACTTTGCAGTATGAAACACTAGCACCCTGCCCATGTATTTCTTAAATACACTATGTGCAAGGGCACTGTTACTCCATTAACCTGAGTGGCTGGAGGCCTCCTAATGGGCAGGCAAACAAAAAAAATAGACCGGTTCCATCTGGACAACTCCCCCACCACTGTTACCATAAGTCACCAGTATTTGACTGGATTTGACTTACCTGGTCCAATACCCACTTTAATAATATCTGCTCCAGAAAGAATAAGTTCTTCTACCATCTCTCCCGTCACCACATTGCCTGCCTAGACAAAAGGAACAACATCACATATATGGGAGATTTCAAGACTACTGCAATAAAGACTAATGATGATAATGTGCAGTTTTATCCAGAGCTTTTTACAAGTTTAACTATATAGAGTAACAAAGAATATAGTTCACCATATTGTTCATTGTACATGCCATAGAGATTAGCAAATCATGGAGGGTACCATCCTCAAGTCAAACAAATTTCATTATGTCCACTAAACCCTGATCCTTAAGATCCCATCAGGATATCTGCTTTGTCTTCCATCCCCCTAAACCTCACCCAGAGGCTCTCAACCTCATCACCCCTATCTGTAAGAGCTACACATCAAACCTCTCCCTTACATACGGTGCAACTACTCCACCTCTCCTGCCCTGCCTAGCCCTCCTGAACAGCCTACAGCCCTCCAGCCCATTTGCCTACCTCACCTTGTGGGAAGATGTTTAGATCTTATATAAAAGCCTGGCAAACCTCATTTTCCTTTAGGATTTAGTATTTTGAGTACTGAAAAAGTAAAGAATACTATTCTTGACGTTTTGTATGTTGGTGTCAGAATTGGTATGTACATTCAGACTACCTAAATAAAAGCATTTCTATCAGATTCATTTGGTTGTGGCAGAGGTGAAAGATAGGGGTTTCGTTCCCTCTGCATTAATTTCACAGAGATGTAGAGAGCATGTTGTTTATGGTAAGGTCTTCTTCTTGGAAAGAAGTTCTGAATTATTTTGTGTTCTTTGCCATAGTTTCCCTTGCACTTCAAGAGTTCTTTTCCTCCTTTGGCCTTCATCCTTGCTACCTTTCTTAAAAGCAATGGCAGCCCTCTCAGCCTTTGTCTTGCTACGTCTAGTCATCTTCTTCTTTAACCCCTCCATGCTTCTAATCAACTGCTTAGTCCTTGTTTGCCTTCATCCCAGACAGAACTTCTCTTTCTTGAACCTGAGAAATGAGAACTGTTCACAGTGGTACAGATGAGTTCTCACCAGGCCTTTGCACAATGCTTGCCTTTCCTATGGAAATACCTTGCCCAACACACAAGAATGCATTTGCCTGCAACAAAATCATCACTCAGTCACCCTGTGATCTACTTATGCCTCCAGGAACATTTGCCTACTTCAATGTTTCCAAGCTGGAGCAGAAACTCATAGTGCTCCAGCTGATGTTGTGTTACCTATTTCTACTCTGCAGTTCTTCACATATGGTTTATTAATGGAGGGGTTAGCTCTTCTGTCAGAGCTTCAGCTGGCATGGAATATGGAAGCCATAGAAACATACCATGAGATATAGCTTTTTCTGGCTCATGGATGCCATGAAATCCAGAATATGATGTGGACATAGAAACCTGTGTTTCTTGAACGATGGTTTTCCACAATCTAAATTCAAAAGACCTGACCACGAACTTCACTGTTTCATACATTTGATGGCACCAAAGCCTGCAAGGTGGAGATGCGTAAATGAGGGTCACTATGCGCCTGTAAGATAGCTGCAAAGGACTGAAAATTTTGCTTTTTATACGCCCACCTGAAACCACCTGAGAATGTCAATATGATGGAATCACTAATAACATTATTCAGATACAAAGGAACTTCTTTCACTTTTAATTAATAAAGGAAACTATGAAAGACAGTCTTCTAGCACACACATGGTAATTAGCAAAAATGGTGCCATGAGTGCAGAAAACTACCAGCACATATCTATTCAGTTAAAGGATCTCAACATCACTGTGAAAGTTAATGTGTCCAGACATGGATCTGGTCGACCAGCAGGTAGAGTGAGACTAGAGACAAATTCCTGGTGCCCCCAGTCCAGAGGGCTTTTAGCAAAAAGACAGTCTTTAAGGAGAAAGGATTTCAAACAACATGGGATTTATTAGCTAAAACTCGTGCTTCGAGTTACATTTGAAAACAAACTGATAGCCAGTGCATTTTCAGACCGTGCTTTCCTCTCTGCAAAGGGCTGGGCAAGGCAAATGATTGGTGACATAGCACATCCTGAAACAATTTCCTACAGCTGTACTAACTGCATTCCCGTACTGTGGGAGAACACAGTATGGGAATGTAATCCTGTAAATTGGACACCACAATTTATAAAGGATGTTAAGGTACTTGAACATATCCAGAGGAGGGTAACAAATCTGATGAAGGGGCTGGAAGGCATGTCCTCTGAGGAACTGCTGAGGACACTGATGGCAAAACCCCCACATCTCTGACAGTAGCGAGGCTCAAAGATCAAGCCCTCAGCCTGCAGCAGGAAGTGCTCCTGAACTAAATAATTGCAAATCTTTCTGATGTGAGCAATACCTGTTCATTTCCCCATGGACTTTTTTTCTCCTTGTACTCATTTTTAGAAATGCCTGAGCTGTTTTCCTTGGAAAAATATGCTAAAACAAAAGAGCCAGAGAACAACAGTACTCCATCAGAGCAAAGGTCCATCTCACCCAATAATCAGTCTCCAAAGTGGCCAACCATAAATGTCTAAAGGAGGCTATATGAGGCTCCCAGAGTCCTGCGTTTGCTCATAGGCCTCAATGGCTGGGACAGGCCTCCCCTGGTACACCCACCCCCCATCTCCTGCCAAGGGCCCAGGGAAAGTGGTGTCTCAGCTCAGCCTGCAGACTTTAGAATCATAAAATCACATTCTGTGATTCTATAACTATTCTATTCTACCCTATTCCATTCCATCCCATCCCCTGCACTCACCACGAGTCAAATAACGATGAGAAGGATATTAAATTAAACAGGAATTTCCCTTTGTGAACCCACACTGACTACCTGATGATTGCATTGCATTTAAATGTCTTTCAACAGCACCCAGTATGATGTCCTTCATAATTTTTCCAGGAACTAAGGTTAGACTAAGAGGTCTGTAGTTTCCTGGGTCTTTCCTCATGCCTCTCTTGTAAATTGGGATAATGCTGGCTAGTTTCCAATCAACAGGGACCTCCCCAGACCCCCAAGACTTTCGGTAGGTGATTGAGACTTGTCCTGCAGTAATATTCGCTAGCTACTTCAGTACTCTGGGATGAATCCCCTCAGGCCCGTCATCCCATCAGATGTTTGAAAGTATGGTTTGAACTCCAGCTCTGTGGCTTGTCTCATGTCTGTGGCATGTTCCTAACTAGAAAAGCTGCACAAAATAAACCTGCATGAAACACAAGTCCAGTTGCTCACATCACCCACTTTGCGCTTGTACTGAGATGGGCTATTCATTTGTGGAGATCTGAATTTAGGATCTAGAGATGTTCAGAAAACCTCTTATGTATTGATATTCCAGGACTTAACAAGTGTTTGTAGCAATACCGATACAGGCAGAGCAGGAAGCAAATCCTAAAATCCTTACTTAATATTTTCTTAGTTTTTATTGAAACAAAACTCCTGCTTAAGTCAATAGTAGCTACCCAGGGAACACAGGGCAAGGCCTATTCTCCACTTACTGATTTTTGGCTCTTATTTCACCATTTATTTATTTTTAATGAATTTTACTTCACCCTTTCATTAGCCTGAAACAGCTGACAAGGCACCACCTGAAGCACTTATAAAAACAATGACACCGTTAGGCAGCAATTTGTGGTCTATGACACAGGACTACTTAACTTTGCTCAAAACTGCATGACATTGATTAAAATAAAATAAAATAGAGTGGTCGGGAAATAAAGAATATATAATAGGTACAGTGTTTCCAGCTAAGTGCTGCTTCCTTTCTGCTCAGTGGCAATTTGTTACACTAAGTGTTATACACTCCTAAAGTGGGATGACGGAGAGCATGCTGCTTACATTAAGGAAGCAGTTGACATCTGGAAGGCAGACGACTACCTGTGCAAGATGACACACAGCACATTACAACTTGGTGAAATACTGTAGTACATGCGATGGATTCATAAACAGGAACAAATGGGTATTAAAGTCTGTGGGTCCACGAGATTTGGGATCAAATATGTATTTAACTTAAACAACAGTGTCTTCTTATTAGCAGAGCATAGCGCGTTGTCAAACTGTCTCCTCACAAATGCTAACCAGACGTTTAATGTTAAGTTACTGCTAGAGAACGTTGGAACTGCATATGTTGATTCAAAATGCTCATCCTAGCAGGGAAAAGCACTTATGTCCGCAGCATACATTTTTTCCTGGAATGCATGTACACACATGAGCAGTTTCTCTCTCTCTGAATCTGCAGATTCTTAACAGATTTTCAGGGAGGATGTGGAGCTCTCCAACCTGACGATGACAGGCTTGCTTCTTTTAGGTACCTTTTGCAGACCTCAGAGAGCACGAAAAAAACACTACCAGAGAGGCACAGTGCTCTGTATGTGAAGAGACCCTACAGCTGACACAGCTGAAGAGCAGGAAAAGCTGTTTTCTCACATCCAGCTGAACTCTACTTCTATTGAAACCAATGAGGCAAAGGAGCTTTTGAAAGCCCCACCTGTAAGGTAAAGCCAGAATACTTCCACTAAAAAAAAAAATCTGAAAAGGTGAATATAGAAAGACTGAGACTACAGAGATGAAAAATCCTTAAAATTAACTAAGAATATAATGCAATTAAAGTAATTGGAACTTGTACAAAGAAGCCACTACAGACAATACACGTATTTGGGCACTTAGGGAATACAGTGACTGGTACAAGTATTGTATTAGTGAAAATCATGCTCATCTTAATGATGAGCCCATGCACCAATGCATTTCTTATCTGCTACAGAACTGGCTTTCTTGAAAGAGATATACCCCAGTAATTACCTTACTGCTAATCTAACTTTGCTACCCTTGGCAGTAAAATAACAGCATCAATAACAACTGAAAGTCAGGTCAATTACCATGCTTTCAGTGCGGTCAGTTATTAGGGGCTACAACAAATTACCCTGCCTCTGGGCCTGATATTACACACTCAGGACAATATTCAGCTGTACCACCTCTCAGTGTGAGATTTCAAGTGAGCATCACCCTAGCTTATTCCAGCATTATCCAGGCTGACCAAACTGTGGGTCAGTCTCCTGAGGGAAGTCCTGGCCTCAGAAAAGTCAAAGGGAGTTTCACTACTGACTTTAATGGGATCAAGATTTTGCCTAACAGGATTATAAAGACTACAGCTTCTCTGACAGAGATACAAAATTAGTGAACACAGTAGGGCAGTGTCTCTGAATTTCAGTCAGGCATTTGATACTGTGCCTCATAAAAGCCTGCTATAAATATCGACTCACACTGACTAAGACAGGAACACTGCTGCACTGATTGAAAGCTGCTGGCAAATGGCAATGGATCAAGCTGGGGAGAAGTGTCTGTGACAACAGTTCTCAAACTTTCTTCTTGTATCCTAGAGGAAAGCACAGTCTGTGCCTCCACACTATCAGAAACACTGCCAAAGGACACTTCCCACCCACCAAAGCAAGGGGTGCTTTATCGTAAGTGAGGACTCCTTTGCGAGGTTGAGCCATACCTGCTGGATGTTTGCACACAGAATTGTGACTGACCCAAGCCAGCCTCAGCAGCATCACTGTCTCCTCCCCTGGGATCTCAGTTGGCCCCTGCCCTGAGACCCCACCCCGATCAACATGCCATGACTGGACTGACTCTGCTGCTTGTTCCAGAGATATACTGGGAGCAGTCTGCATGTCCTTCTCTGAATTCTGCCTCCACTAAGGCCCTGAGTAGTTCTGCTGACTCCAAAGGGAGCAAGAGTTTCTGGCCCCTGCTGTTTCCCTCTGCTCCTGCTTTGCGATTCCACTTGCTCTCTCTCTGACATATCTTGTGGGTGCCACTGCATTTGCAAGTGTGCTCCTGCCCTAGCCTTTTCCTTCCTGCCACATTCCCTGCTCCCTTCCCCACAGCTTATTCTGTATAATGAACAGAGAACACTACAAAGAAAAATTCAGGATAAAAACTTGGCAAAGCTTGCTGGCAAAGATATCTTAGCTTGCTAAACAAACTTCCAGTGAAATGGAAGAACCCTAACATCTATAATTACGCTATTAAATAAGGACTATGCTCACTGTAATATAAAGGCTCTGACCCTCCACCATGACTGTGAACTGAAGTTTTGCTTTAGACTTCAGTGAGTAGGCACACCCCAAGCACATCATGCTGTGCTAGAGGAAAACAGCCCACTGGACCATTACTCTTGATTCTGGGGGGCAATGCCACATTTGTGAGACACTCAGGATACTTGAATACTGCCTCTTCTTCCATCTAATGAGTAACTGAGGCAAGTCACGTTGTACCTTTGTGCCCCTGTTTGTCTTTCCTATCCTTTGCATTCCATGGAGAAATCAACGTTCTTTGTAAATTAATATGAAAGGCAGGAGTGAAAAGAGCTTGTGTCAGAGACAGGCAGAAGAAAATAAGGTAATGCAATTATAAAAGCAAGTATTTAAAAAGGCAAAAAAATGCATTTGTTAGGTTGTTACACAGGAGATATCCTCCATCTGCACTGGAGTACTGGCCACAGAGAGTACTACATTAATCACAGTCGCTCTGCACATCACCTTTCAGCCTCAGCGCTGAACCCATTACATGGCCCCTGGGAACAGACATTCCCTGAGACCCGGGGTTGGGTTACTGCTATGTACTGCGCTGCAGCTGACTGTGGAATGAATGGTCATGCTGAGGAAAGCAAACAAGACAGCCTGCAAGGTCTTGGAGATCACTTTCAGCTATGAGAAAGCTCCTTTATTTTTATACCTTCTATTTAACTGCTAACCCTTTTGCGTGAAAGCCACAACAGCAGAGAGCATACTGCAGGCATAGCACAGAGATATCAAAGGAGACAGAACAGGTAGCAGCAGGACATGCCTTCCAGAGTATCATAAAAAGGAGCCTAGACGAGCTTCTGCATTTCAGCTAGGAATAGTTTCAAAAGGCCATGGCACAGCGTGTAAAGTAAACTCATTTGGAGGTGGGTAGAGGGGTGTGTCCCTCGTTAAATCAGAGACATTCAGGGACTGTACAGACTTTGGAGGCTTTGGAAAACTGAAGGTTTTTGAACATCCCAATGTTGTTAGCATGCTTTTAGGAATGGAAATTACCCTTGTGCATAAGATTAAAAACATGAGGAGTACTAAACCATGTCCAGAGAAAGGAGCTACAATAAGCTAAGGCAACTGACCAGGCCAGGGTTGTATATGCACTCAAGCAGGCGGGGCTGTCAGGACAATGAAGCTTGAAGCAACAATAAACTTATTCACAAAGCAGAAAAACTAAGCAGGTAGCTTAACAGATGTGGGAGGTGGATGAGACTGGCTTAAGGACCTTGGACTAAAATCTGGGCTTGATACCTGACTTTGACATTGACCTCCTGTGCCTTCTTGGCAATTCATCTTGGGTAAGTTCCCTCCTCATTCAGCAAAGTCAGTAGTCTGGGGAGGAGGAGGAAGGGATGACACAGAATTTTCTTTCCACTCCTGATAAGGAAGATATTTTTTTTTTTTAACTTGTGTTGTTTAAGCTCTCTCCCACAACTCTTCAAGCCAAAGACACTGGAGTAATCACATCACTAGAGACAATATTTCAGATCCAAAGCAAGGAAACGATCCTTCTCTCACTGCAGTGAACATGAAGCAAGCAGCTCAAAAAGCCCACATCTATCGTTTCATACTTCCAAAAGCTCTCCCCAAAGTCATGAGAAATATGGCCATACCAAAAAGGTTCCCATGTCTGCTGGTAGCTGTTGAAGGATGCCTATTCACTGGCTTATGGTAACCCAGAACCCTACAGGCATCCCAGTCCACTTGTTTTCCAGTGCCACCATCATTCAGAGGCAAGAACACTGCCTTCCTCTGACATGGAAGGAAGGAATGTAGTCTCCCCTGAGCTGCTTGATTGCAGTTCTTGATTGAACCAAGTCAGAGTGTGCATTTATGACCATTTTTAACTCCACGCTTATTTTACATGTGCGAAGCTTTGTGCCTGGCATGAAACAGTGAGAAAGTGTTGCCTAAACACATGGTTTTTTGCTGCACTGGCTTGAAGAAAGGCTGGTAGCCTCATTAAGAATCTGCTGCTTGTTTTAGAATTTCTGCTATTCTCATGGAAACGAATTCACACCACATTTTTTCAAGAACCCTGGGAAACAAGCAGGAGCAGTAGGACTCTGCTGCAAGGAGTCCCGTGCTGATGCAAAAAGGCTGGAGGAAGCATGGCATTAGCACTCTGAGAAGGGACAGTAACATCACAGAATGGGCATGAAAAGCATTGACTGTTTTGCCCCTTGATGACCCCATTCACAATTGCACAACACCCCTATGATTCTTATCATAGGCAAGGATTAGTCTACATTCAGCTGCCTTCACTGTGATCTAATAGACAGAAACAGCCAGTGGCCTCAATTGACCAGAAACGTTGGCGCATTCCCACAGCAAACCTCAGCTTGGAATCACCAAAATAAACCTACACACTTTATGATTAGAGGTCACATCTGGTGTGGGAAGGAGGATGTGAGTAGGAAAAATATTGGATCCACCCAGCCTGCCATGCCAACATCAAACTACTGTATCAGAGCACACATTGAGCATTCCCACAGAAATTATCAGCAATGGAAGACTGACAATGCCAACATGTTATTAAACAGTCGTCATTGGCTCAAAGTCAACATCTTGCTGAATTGAAAGGGTAGAGCTTCCCTCTATATTCTCAGAAGAGCATCTGTCCACATGTATTTGTCTGGAAGACTAGAGGTTTGAGTCAGATTTTTTTCTTTCTTTTCTCTCTTTCCTTTTATTAAGTGAGGACTCCAAAATTGATGGAGCTACCACAGAGCTTCTGATGCCTGCCAACCACACTCTGGGCCCTGTTCCTGGACAGAATTCCCACACATCCCCTCCACCCTTTTTACACACTTACCATAATGGTATGATGTGGGAACAGGGCACGGACAGACTTCACAAACTCCACAAAGTGCTCTGAATAGCCGTTTGCCACATCCAGGCAGATGTATCTGATAGGTGGAATGGCCTCTAGAATACTTGTTAACTTGTCCAAATCAGCTTTTCCACTGCCCGAGCTTGCTGCTACGTGCTAGAAAGACAGGGAGAACAAAAGGGAGTAGTAGTTTGTAAAATCTGGGATAAACACACACTTCATATGTCTTTTTCTGCATAGTCTCAGTAGGACTTGTTCTGGAAACTAGTGAAAATCATATTATATAATATGAAATAAAGACCTTCCTGGGAATATCAATTTGTTACTTCTGTTTTGTTTAAAGGCTCTAAAAGAAAGCAAAACTAGCATTTTATCAGCTTTTCATTCACAAGTGGATTCTCATAGGCATATAATCACCTGAGATGGATGAATGTTCAGCCATACCCATTTTAACACAAATGCAGAAGAAGGCCTAACTTGGTATATTCCAGGAAGGCAGAGTGGCAAAATTTGGGGTACCATCAGAAAACGGAATCTGGATCTTTAAGTTCACCAAACACTCCCTTGATCTGAAGAATCACAGGATAGTTGAGTCTGGAATGGAACTCTGGAGACTGTGTAGTCCAACCCCTTGCTCAAGCAGGGTCAGCTACCCTTGAAAACAAGCAGATTGCTTCCTCCTTTGTCTTCCTATGAGCTCTTTCCAATAGAAAAATAGTTTCCACAGCTGTTGGCCCACAAAACCTCTGCAGAGATCCAAGGTCACAGAGCAAGTCAGTATTTAATCACTAGGAGATCCTACTCCAGTGATTATGAACCACAAATGAGCTAAGTACCAAACTGTTCAGACACAGGATATTCCTGGGACCACTCTCTATGCTACAGTGGCATATAAGCAACCCTGATGAACTTAAGAGATAGGCTGGCTTTCAGAAAATCCTGTAATCAATAGCCTTTATAATATAATTCTAAAATGTACCACAAGACACAACAGAGCTGTGCGGTATTCTTTTCTATACAGAAAAAAGTTTCAAAACTGCACTGAACTCCAAGGAGGGGAGACAGCTAGGCATGCTGTCATACTGCCTCTCCAGGAGTAGGGGTCTGCCAGAAGAACACAGAAGAAATATGGATATGAAAAAGTCAGAACCTAAGTCATTGTTTAAATTTAGTAGATGGTGTTTCTCTTTAATGGCTTAGGCTAGGACCCTGTGAACAAGTCGGGCAGCACAGCTAGTAGTAGCACAGTGTGAGCTCTCCTGCAAGGAGGTAAATGGAGGAGACACACACGCTCTGACAACTTTGAATCCTCAGCCCTGCTCGGGCCCAACACCCGGACCTCTCCAGCCACAGGCTTCAGGTCCACGTGCATACCTGATGGCAAGGACTCTGCCTAGTACAAGGGCATGCGAGGCCAGCTTGTGGTTGGGTTACTCAAGGCTATTTGCATTTATAGTCTTGGGCTTCTCCCTCACCAGCGCTACCACAGCTCCTACCAGCAACAGAAGCACAGCAGTTAGACCTATTCCCAAGTATTTCCTTCTTCTTTGTTCAGGATGCTTCTCTGTTTCCATTCCAGGCATATATAAACTTTGCTTTTTTGCATCTTAATATAAGCACTTTCATAATGGACTCACACAGTTATTCTTTTTAAACCAGGACAAGCCACTTCCCTTGATGCATTTAAGAACAGCAAATATCTTCATTCCCCAAAACCTCACTTGACAACAGTACTCCCAAGAGATCCCAGTGTATGTGAGTTCAGAACAAAGCAATAAACCATAATAATTTACAGTATGAAAATCTACCTCAAGGCATTCTGGGTGATTGGCAGCAAACAGTTTCCATTCTTCCAGAGAATAATGCTTGTGAATTGCAGTGAACATTGCATGCTAGGAAAAATAAGAAAACTGGTATTAATGTCCAAGTTAGTCATCTTTCCCTCAGCTGTAGAACAGCAAGATATCAGAAATTCACATTTGAGATATAAGCTCATCCTGCTTGAAAGAAACAGTAACAGTGAATAAGACAAGGCAACTCCAGGTGGAGTTCAAAGGTAACTTAGCATGCCTAGTCGACCTTTCAGGATCAGGTTTCTAATGTGTTTGATGAAGTTACAGTCAATATTTTGAATGTGCTTAAGCACTGCAAGAAATTAAGGTGAGGCTTGAGGCCAGAGGCTAATATAGTAGTGACTCCTCTCTGCTGCAGCTTTATCCAGTAGCCTACACTTCCAAACTGTTGTCAGCTAATAATTTTTTTCTGAAAGGGAGCACAATATACTCCCCAAAAACTAAGCTCTAGGAGCTCTAGAAGCTCCACTGAAGCTGAATTACATCCAAGACGGAAGCTTCCCAGTAAGCACCTCCACTGAAACTATCTTATATCTGGAGCTCTTTCTGGTAACTGTATTGCTGGAAAAGCACAACTGCTTTGCAGTGAAATCACACCTTTTTGTTCTGGATTTTTTAACTCACACCCCCCCTATTTTCCAACAAACATAGCTAAGAACTAACAAGGGCTGCTCACTGTTACCCAATGGCCTCCCAATTATTGCACAGACAAAAAGCAAGACTTACTTTTGCCATAACCACGGCCATTTCAAATGTTCCCACAGTGTCCATGTTTGCCACTATAATGGGAATTCCTGTGTATGTCTGCTTGGAGTTGCGGAAGGTGAAGGTGCGCGTGAGGTCGACCTGCAATGAATAAGCACACATTCTTTTAAGTGATTGCCACCTCACAAGAGTTTTACCACTGACTTCAGTTACAGCAGGTTTGGACACTGCTTTTTAATTTTCCTCACATTTCCTGTTCTTCTTTCTTTCATTCCACTATTGCCTCTATTTATTTTGTTACAACTTCTGCCTTCCAAATAAGAAAGAAAATATAAAAGCAAAATAATGTTTTCTGTGTTAAAGAGTGTTTTTGCTGAAGAAAATAAAAATCAAAAAACAAAACAAAACACACAACCAAATAACAAGAAGTCAGAAAGGGTTGGAAAGGAAAATGAGGACTGTGGATTGTTTTGTACAGAAGTAACCTCAGCTGTTTGGCTGCCTGAGAAACCCAAGTTGAACTCCTAACTCCACATAAGTCAGAACTGGAACTCCCTTTGTCATAGAGGGCTTTATCCCAATCTTTAATGTAAATGACAATATAAATTACTCAAAATCAAGCTCTTACTTTTGGCTATGGTTACCAGCACTCTTGCCTACAATATGAGCAACCATACCCTGGCTTATTAAATCATAAGGCTGTTACTTTCTAAGTTAATTTCTTACAATTGTGTTAGCTTTCACCTTCAAAGTTATTTCTTCTTCAGCATCCTGAAATGATCATGGTAACATCAGGCATTTTGTTCCTTACATTTGTTTGCAAAAGGCAATACCAAATCTAGATCAGTTCCCACTGGTCTACTTAGCATCTTGCAAAAGGGAAAAAAAAATAATCTAAGAAATGCACAACTGTAAGATATTAGGTTAGTCTCTTTAGTAACAATGAAAATTAAAGCTCTTTCACAGTTTCCATTACTCCTCACTCCCCTTAATCCAGGAACATTCGGAGACCTGAACTGAACTGAAATCTATCACCAGAAAGGAAGCAATATAAAAAATAAAGGAGTTTTATTATTTATTTACAATGTATTTTGAGCACTGTCATATTGCAGGTTACATTCCGATTAATATGGTGGGGGGTTTATTATCGATTTGTTAGGGGAAAGAACTTGGTGCCTCAGTGATATATTGTGAAACAGGTTCTCATTTTGTATAAGCTCATAAAGGAAGGGTCACTTTGGTGAACAAGCTAAGACACAACTTAACGGAGACTCACCCTTCTTGTTATTTGCCATCAGAGAGGGCAGTTCTCCACCCATCACTAATTACATACCATTCTCATGGGAATTTCAGCTGCAGATAACATGAGAAAATTGTATGAAGAAGCTAGGTATGAAATAAGTATGAAAATTCAATGCATTTTATTCACCTTTAATGCAATTTATTAACTAGAATCAAGGAAAAAAGGACAGGATATCACACAACTAGTTCTACACAGACAACAGTACCAGAACCACTGCCTTAGAGTTTTACAGAGGAAAACCATCTCTTTCAAATGAACCTTAGAAAGAAGAAAAGAACAGTATGTTTAAGAAAAGACTGCGGCAAGAGGCAAAGCCACACAGGGAATACAAGGCCATTATTCTTTCAGTGACTCTCATCTCTGCTTTCTGTAACTTCTCATAGCCAACTTCCTTTAGCCAGCTGGCCAGATGGATCTCATGCAATTATCCACACAACTGATAATACTGTAACGGCAGGCACTTATGAGACAAAATTGCAGGGCTTCCCCTAATGAGGCTTTTGTTCTATAAGGACAGGAGAAATGGCACACTGGGTTGGAGATGTTTACATGGTGCCCTAGTTCTCCAAATACCCAGTACTAGATGTCTGGGAAGGGAATATAACAACAAGGCAAGCTTTGCAAGACTCCTTCCCTAGCCTGCCTTCCCTGGTCCCAAGAAGTTGATGTTTAGCAACCTTCAAAGACAAAGGTCTCCTCCAATCCATTATGCTAAATAGCTGCTCATGGACAAAGGACCTGCCTTGTGATTTTTTTAATCCTTCACACCTTTAGCCTCTCCAATATCTCAAAGCAATAAATTCTGAAGATGAATTATACGTTGCATGAAAACTACGACCTTTGCCTGATAATTACATTCAGTACTTCCTACTTCTCGTTTTGTGAGAGACAATCAATGGCCACTTAGTTTCATGTTCTCCGTTCCACTCCTCACTTCATAGACTTCTAGCATATCCTCCACAGCTGCTGCTTCTCCATACTGAATAATCCTAGTATGTTTTTTCCCTCATGTGGAAACCAGTCCATACTGTATCAACCTGGCTATTACTCTCTGTACCTATTCTAGCATATTATGCTGTTCTTGTGAAGGGATCACCATTAGTGTGTACTCAAGATGAACATACCAAGGAGCATCACAAAGCTAACTGGTTTTCCTTAGTTCCTCTAGTAGCACTTCTGACCATCTCTTTGCCTCTCTGCTGAGTGGTAACAGTTAATTTATAGCTTATTGTTCTACGCATTATGAGAAAATAACTTCTGACTCTAGGATTGCTCACCATCACTCAACAACAGTAAAAGTTTCTTTAGAAAGAAAATAATGAAATGTATTTTATAACTCCCACCTAGACCTTCGACATATGAAAGTACTAAGACGTGCTGTTCTGTTAAAGCTCCCTGGACTTACTTGAATTTACAAATTTTATTTAATGACCAGACTTCCTATAGGACACTCGTCTGGTGAACTTAAATTGTAGAGGCAAGTCCAGAAAAGGCAAGAATAGCAGGTTACATGCTTACCAAGACCCCACAGACAGATAATTCTGCTCCCAATCCAATCATTGCTTTAACCAATTTTGACACTTGAATTCAAGCTTCAAATTGTCTGGTATCTTTTCAAAAAGCAAAAGCAATCATGGAAAATGAAGATAGTGCAAAGAATCAAACACAAATACCAACACAACAGAGCTACACAAAGTGCTGCAAACACCCAAAACTGCTTCTCTAAGAAGCTGACTTAATCCTAGTTACTCCATAAAAAGCTATCCTTGCGCAAAATGAGGCATTCACACCAGAGAAGCAGATGCTTGCTGATATAAGCTTCAAAGCAGCAGCTTGCTGGGTAACAGGCACTGTAGTATGCTGCCTCTGTTCCTATGCCAGAACTATTTATTTATATTCTTGTTTTGAAGCAGACTGGGGCTGTCCATTTCTGGCTCTCACAGACACTGTTTATTCCTGTTGCTACAGCCTCAGTGATGGTGTCCAATTTCTTAACCTTCATCAGTTTCCACTGACCCTCCTCATGACATGCACTTTTTCTCATGTGAAATGTTTTTAACAGTTCATCATAGCCACCCGTTACAACCCTGCCATATCAGCTCATATTCCTCCTATCATTTTCCCTTCCCAGCAGATCTTCTTTCCACAGCCTGCACAGAGCTAAATATACAAAACAGTGCACTTGAAGGAGCCATGTGTCACTCGGTGGAGCACAGCTCCACCTGTTTGCCAGGCCAGCACAGTGAATTTTAAAGAGGGACCATAATTGTCCAAGCAAATGGCTGGAAAGGGCCCACAAGCCTTACAAGCAGTGACTGCACACAATGAGGTGTTACTCAGTCAGGACACCATTCTTTGTAAATTAAGAACGACTAGCCTGAGACTACCTTTCTACTGAGAGGGCCTCTCCAATCTTACACCTTCATAATGTCAAAAAAGTTTTGCCTAGTTGTTGCCCTCAAAATCCCTGGCCATAGGCCATAATAAACATGGCTACCCCACTTCCCTTTCCAGTCTTGTCTTTCTACCTCACTTGATTTGTCTCTGTCTCTCTCTGTCTTACAACTCCACTTCCTCCGGAGAAAAGCTTAATCCTCTTTCCATCCCCCAACACAACGTAATTCCTTCATTAGTCAAACTAAATCCTTTGCTAACCTTGGGGTTACATGAGGTAAATGAGAAGGCACCTTCAGTCCTGAGGCAGCCATCTTTTTTTGTACAGGCAATCCTCAGGGGATTTCCTGGGGGTCTTTCCTGATCCCTGCTGAGAAATAACTACAGCAGTATCTGGGCTAACAGTGGCCCTGGGCCAGCAGGGATGCAGAGCCCTGGGAAGCCCAGGCCACAGGGGTGTGGGGGAGCTGCTGTAGGTCCCACAGCAGGAGAGAAGCCCTTAGTGGGAGGGTGTAACAGGAGGGTGAAACGCACCCCACCACCCCACATTTCCACCGACGGGATGCCAGCCTGGGGTACCCTGTGCAACGGGAAGCGTTCCTCAGCATCTCTGCTGGTTGGGGCTTTTTTATCATTACAACTAATTTTTTAAAAAGAGCATATAGGTCACTCGGTAGACGCACTGCTCACAAACCCCCAAGGTTGAGGGTGAAGATGCCTACCGGCCCGGCCTACCCCCCCCACTCCCTTCCACCCCCCGGTTTTTACCGGCCCAAGTGCGGGGCCCGTAACCGGACACTCGGAGAAGGGGCTTGGGCAGAGCTCTCGCTTCACCGCCGCCCCTACGGCAGGCAGCCCCCCACGGAAACCGGAGGTCACCCCCTGGGCTCAGCGCCGCAAAAATCCGCAGAGGCACCTGCCAGGAGCAAATAATCCCCCCCACACACACCCGCCCCTTCCTCAATTCTTTTTATTTTTGCTGAAAAGCGGGGAGGACAGCGCGGCACCGGCTTTGCGGCACCCGGAGCCGGAGCTCGCCTCGCCAAGGCGGGAGGGGGGAATACGCCGCCGGCTCCGTAACCCCGGCCCCCTCCTCCCAAGAGCAACGGCATCCCCCCTCCTTCCACCACCCTCCCCTCCGCCACGCAAAGGGCGTTTCGATCGGGGAGGGCACTGCTACGTTAGACCGGAGAATAAAAATAAAGCAGGGAGGGAAGGAGGGGTGAGGAAGTTAGGCGCTGAGAACGGAGGAAAAAAAGAAAAGCATGCCGGGTTTGAATGCCCCCACCTCTGATCTGCTTTTGAGGCTGCTTCTTTTAGGCCTGAGCAGGACATCTTTAAAGTCCAGTTTGAGGTCTGCGTCTACCCGGGGCATCTTGCTGGGGTGGCGGGGGCCGGGGCTCTCTTGGCGGCGGCGGCAGTGGCGGCCCCGCTGCGCTCGCTGCGCTCGCTCCGCTCCGCTGCACCGCGCCGCCTGCAGAGCCGCACCGGCCAAAGCCCGCCGGCCGCGCACCCAGCGTATTTATAGGGCGCGGGGAGCGCGGCGCCGCGGCCCGAGCCCCATCGCTTTATTAGGAGAGGATTGCTTTCAGCTGAGCGGCCGGCCGCTCTCTGCCCCTTCTCCCGCCCTGGCCACCCCTGCTCCTCATCCGGGCTGGGCGCTACGTGTGTGTTGTTATGGGGTGGGGGAAGACGGGGAACGCGGCGCCCGCCCGCAGCCGCCCGTGCGGGGCGAGGCACGGGCACCACCGGCGGCACCGCCGCCTTAAGGGCATAGCAAGGGCAGAGGAAATGGCGCCTCCATGTGACCGAGACGGCGGCCGCCGGCCCCGCCGCCGCCGGGTGGAGGAGCCGGCATCGCGACAGGGCGCTGTCCGCCTGCCGCTGCCGGGCGGCCGCTGAGGGGCTGAGCCGACATTTTGCCCGCCCCTCTGCCCCCCAACTTCCACCGCCCCAGCGGCGGTTGCGGACCAACGGCTGCGCCCAACCGCCGCCCGGCGCGGGGGCGCCCCTGAGGTGGCTGTGGCGAGGCTGCCCAACGGTTTTCAGGCACGTGCCCAAAGAGGCCTAAAACCATAGGATGGTAGAATGGTTTAGATTGGAAAGGACCTTAAAAATCACCTCGTTCCACCCCCCCTGCCATGGGCAGGGACACCCCCCACTAGACCAGGTTGCTCAAGGCCCCGTCCAGCCTGGCCTTGAACACCTCCAGGGATGGGGCATCCACAACTTCCTTGGGCAACCTGTTCCAGTGCCTCACCACCCTCATAGTGAAAAATTTCTTCCTGATACCTAATCGAAATTCAAATCAAATTAAAAAAAAAACAAAATAAAATTGTTGTGGTTCCAGCCTTATAAAGGGCCAGCCTTTGGTATCCCTGGGCTCTGGTGGAAGTCTGACTTGCCGAGGCACTCCACTCTGAGGCCTAACCTGGCCCACTCTCTGCCCATCATCCTCTGATAAAACAGAGCATTTCCCAGCTCTGAGACCCTCTGAGCCAGTTCCCCAACTGACTGCAGAGCAAAGGGCTGGTGCATGTTTTTGGCGTTAGAAACGTTTAGAAATGTGCAGCTGGTTGGTCACAGGAGAGCAGTCACAGCACCAGCCACCTGGAGCTGCCTCTGCACAATAATTTCCTATTTTAATACATGTAGACAAGCAACAGGGTGGGGGGTTTGCCCTCCCTAGCATAAAGGAGCCTGATTTGGCTGCCCTGGCTAGCCACTGTTTAACACACAATCGCAAAACCCCCATAGAAACAGAATTACACATGCTGGATTCATCTACATCTACTGGCACAGGGATCAGTGGGAGGGTTACCAGACATCATGTGAGGTGACTTTCACTGGAGCTTTGAGCCTTGAAGTCTATTTAATTATGAAGTCAGTAAGTTGTAAGGCTTGGACTTCCATGGAAGACACATGAGCGATGCCTTGTCAGTGACTGGAAACTGTAGCATGGGGGGGGATCATGGCTGGCTTCCCTTCCTCAGATACATTGCAGGATGAGTCAGTGCTCTCTTCTTTATCTGAAAGTTGCACAAGTCTGGCCAACACCCTGCTTCCAGCAGAGCTCTTTTACCTCTTTACCCGAGTGTCCCAGATAATTCAATATGTCCAAGCATGAGGCCCAGGCTTTACACAGCAGTCGGCATTTGAGTGCTCACAGTTTTGAATATCTGGGTTTAGAGGCCTTGAGGCTTCGGAACTCCAGATACGATGTTCCAGGAGAGCCTTGTCACTGTGGGTATTTCCTGCAGCAATATTCAGGCAAAACAGCACCCGTTATAATTAGTCTCATCTTCATAACAGAGGCTATTCACTTGGCACTTGATCCACTGGATTCAACAACGTAACAGAACTACTAAAATTTATCCTTCCAACAGATAGCCACATCTCCCATCATTTACTGTTTAGTAATAAATTAACATTTTGTTCCGGAGCAGCGAGTACCGATGAGAATGGGTCCTGTGAAAATGACATGCCTGTAGCAGAGGACTGAGAATAGAGAAAAAACAAATGCCTTCTGTCTGTGCCTGGCACCATGTCTTCTCTTTGCCCTCATGGCAGGCATGTGATGCTGAGAAGAAAGAAATAAGCCACTGCGCTGCACTGTGAATGCAAAAGGTCAGCACTGTCATGGGGAGTAGGAGATGGAGGCTAGCAGTGATACTTGTAAGCCCCAGAAAATCCATGCCTGATGCCGTTTCTTATTTCCAGTACTTTAATTTTAGCTTCCACTCACAGAACTTGCTGAGCTATTTTTCTGTAGATTACAGTATCTGTGAATACCCAATATTTTCCCCATGTACACGTACCAACAGACTAGTCAGGCGCCTCAGATCAGCTCTGGTCATCTTGAAAATTAAAAAAAATCTCAGTTTCTTACTTCAAGATGTATTTTCTGTAATTAAAATTATGGTTTCTTGCTGAACCACCTCCATCTTTTTTAGTGTCCTTTCTGAAGTATGAACACCAGAAAGGACATGATCAGTAATCACATTAGTATCATAGCCAGAAATTAAGATCATCTTGTTATATATCTTTGCTATTCCTCTTTACACCTGTAGTGATCCTAAATTATCTGTGCTATGGAAGAAAGAGTTGTTCAGCCAGGCTTTATGCAGTTTTGGTATTTATTCTGTAAGTGAAAATGAGCTATCACTGATTTCAGAAATTAGCATATGTAAAGTATTACAGCTACTCGCCTTCAGAGCTTTTCTTTACTTCATTGGTTTATATTTATACTTAAAAGCAGATGGAACAATGCACTCAGAAGATAATTTTTCAGCCATTGTATCTGAAAAAAGCAATACTAGTGGGCTTTGTAGGTCTTCTAACAGTTTCCTGAAGTTGGTGTTTTTGAGAAGAGGGAGAAGTGGTCATAATAATGCAAAAAGTTATTGCCACATCTCAAGAAGTATCTATTTGACTTCAGCCCATGAATATCTGATAGTTATTGTCCTTGTGATTTTCATCCCATTAATGTAATTGTAAATGCTGTTGTATTTAATAATAGAAATGAGTTCACAAATTGGATCTAGTGACAAAGGACATAGAAAAAGCAGAGGTACTCATTGGCATCTTGGTCTTCCCTGGTAGGATTTGCCTCAGGAATCCCAGACCTCTGAGACCTATGGGAAAGTCAGGAGCAGTGAAGTCTTACCTTCATGGCAGGATCAGGTTGGGGTGGCGGGAGGGAGGAAGGCTTCCTGAGGACTAGAAAAAGCAAATGTCAGTCCTGTCTTTGAGAAGAGCAAGAGGAGGAGAGAGGATCTGGGAAACTACAGGCCAGTCAGCCTCACCGATGGTGATGGAGCACATAAAAACATTTCCAAACACATGAAGGACAAGAAGGTGACTGGAAGTAGTTGGCATTTATAAAGATAAAATCATACTCAGCTAACCTGATTACCTTCTACGATGAAATGAGTAGTTTTGTGAATGAGGGAAGAGCAATGGGTGTTGTTTATTTTGACTTTGGCTTTTGCCAGACTCCCATAACATCTTCATAGGCAAACTGACGAAGTGCAGACTAGCTAAAAGGACAGTGAAGTGGATTGAAAACTGACTGACTTTCTGGGCTTAAAGGGTTGTGATCAGTGACACGAAGGCCAGCTGAAGGTCAGCCACTTATGGTATACCAGATTAATTCTATATGGCATTAAAAGCACCCCTTTTTATCCATGCTCAGTTTTCTTCTAATTTAAATAACACTTTCCTCACTAACTCCTTGGTAATGAAAAAGGCATTCAGTGATAATCTTAAAGCATGAGCACTTGTGAGCGCCAGAAACACCTGTAGGGTGAATGCTTAATGAGGTTGTAATTATTTATCAACAGAAACTGGTCACAGCTGACACAACTGAAGGCACACACTGACTTCTTTGCTGTGGTTCCTAGGAAAATACTATAGCTTCATATAGCTCCATACAGACAGCCTGTAACATAATTAGCATGCATGTTTAAGGAGTGTGGTGAGCAGTAGTGAAAGCATTGCTCAGCTGGCAAGTGCTCCCGCAAACTGTGTCACAACTTCCCAGCAAAATCCCATATCTGGAAAAAACAACATGCTGGAGGACATGGTGTGATGAAGATCTTTCACTGTTAAGGAGAAGCAGTATGTTTGAGGAAAAAGCCTTATTTTTTGTATGAGAAATGTAAATAACTTTTATTATTCTGTTTGAATTTGGGCCTTGTCTACACTGAATAGCATTTCCCAGTGGATGGATCAAGAGACCTAACTCGGCAAACCCTGCAAATGCAAATGCAGAAGATTTCTTTTGGTTGTGGTGATAAGGGGCTTTCTCTGAACTATCACTAGTATTACAGCATCTACACTAAGGCTTTTGCTGGCCTTGATAGCCACAAGAAATGGGAGGAGCGTGGCTGACACCTTTGACTTACACAGCTGTGCCAAGCAGACTTCAGCTAAATGCATGAAGATCACCTGTTACAAAATGAAGAGACTTGTATGCCATAAGTATTTTCATTAAATTCAAAGGCCTTAGGGTAGACCACTAACTCACAAACTGAGTCCCAGGCCCACACTGACTCTCATTCAAGGTATAGTTTGCTTATGAGTAAGTGACAGTATCCGTTCCCATTTGATCTCAGTAGGTTTCGATGCTAATTTAAAGTAATCACAGCAATTAATGATTAATGAGATTCTGACCTTCCTTGGTTTATGAAATATGTTTAGAGTCTGTCTGTGCTGATAAATAAGATGGACCAAGCCCAATCTCTGTCCCTGCAAGGCAAAGGAGAGAGCGTTGCTCTCACACAGCATCCGTTTAGATGCCATATGTGAGCTTCAAGGGGTTTCACTCATACTGCATATTGGAAACAGCCTCGTGCTGTTCCCTCAACTGTGCTCGGACTCCCTGCTAGAGTGCTAGCTGGCCTGGTTGTCCAAAGGAGTGCAATACTAATTAAAGAGTATGGACCATTGCATGGGAGAGCTTATGGCCATGCACTGGTCCAGTTTGGTTTACAGTAGGTCTTTACTGTTATGAAAAAGGTCTGTAGATTTTATTTAAAAAGGGAAAATAACTGTTGTATACTAGCCATTGTGAACTGATAGTTCTGTGAATTACATACAAGTCCGATATACTGTAAAATAAAGTGATTCTTTTCATGGAAATTTTAAGCCATCTCACAGGATGGAACAGGGATTCGGTTGCTGCTACAGAGCTTTG